TTGATGAAAGGTTACTCAGGCAACAATGTGACATGTTTGTTGAAACCTTGATGTATTCCCTCCTAATGCCAACATACTGCAACATTAAAAACAACGGCAGAAAAAGTGTGTGTGTGTGTGTGTGTGTGTGTGTGCGCACATTATGCAGACACAGATGCTGTCAAGACAGTGAGAGGGGAGCAGAATACGCATGGGGGATGTAGTGCATCCCTGCTATTTGATGACACTGAGTCGAGTCTGTGTTGTGATTATGCAGAGTTTTGTTCATTTGCATGTTGTTAAAAGCCTTGTTGCCGCACTGAACTATTAGAGCCAAAAAGAACTTTAGATTTAAGTAGATACAAGCATACTTGGAAAGAAAAGCAAAAAATAACTTTAAAGATTAACTCAGTGCTAAATCAACAAATTTGAGTTAGTAAATGACACATAGTCACTTTATCACACTATCTATTGATCCTGTTCTTACTTCATCGTGTTCATTGCAACAGAAGTTATTTTTCTTTTTCTTGAAGAGATTCTGTAATTCTATGAAAAATCTATGAGGTACCCTGGGACACTCCGCCTCCCAAACTAGGCAACATCACTTTAAGAGCCAACCCCCACCCCTGTTAATGCCTGGATATAACTTCAGTCCCCCTCGAGTCTCCACACACTCTCTGCTGGCTGAGGTTCAGAGACATTTAAACTGATAGTGTAACATTAGCTCGGAGAGGCTTCAGCAGATGCAGCAGAGGTGGAGAGTGACAGAATAACGTATATAAATGACTGGCAGGGAGGGTGTAAATGTGTAACTAGTCAACACTCTAAACTACTAGCTTACTAGTAATAGTAGTTGTAGTGTACTACTATTGTAGTATTTCCACAACTTCAGCTCTCAGTTGCACCTCCCTCAGGGGAAGTAACAAAGAATAGATTTGCAGCCACTGATAGCACTATGAATTGCGCATGACTTGCATCAGATAGCACATTGCTATCTGCCCTGTCTCATCGTCCGATTCACAAAAGATATATATGATATGAAGTCTTTCAGTCCAAAGTGCCTTTGTTTTGCATCTGTTAAATGTTCATCTGCAATTTTCTGTAATAATCCCGGTAGTATTTGTCCTTACAGTGTACTTTGGTGTCATCACGGTTAAGCAACGTTTGAGTCAAAAAAAATTATAAATGCAGTTGCAAGACATTGACAGCATGTATAATGTAATGGGCAGAGCTTCTGTGTCTGTAAAGAGAAGCCAACGCGGAAGTGTCTTAAACATGCATTCTATGTAATGGCCAGCAAGTTAGCATGCAGTAAGCACGCAGTTACGTTTTTGTCTGATTTGTTCAGGTTTAGCAGCCTTCCTTTTGTGAATCTTTCATATCTGTCCATAATGCTGGTGGTTTGTTGTAGTTGGGTTTGGGGGGTGGAAATGACGCTGCCCCATAATTATTCAAATAGTAAGTAAGAGTTCACTCTCATGGCTGATTCATTATTGTAGGATAATTTATATACATGATGCCTCTGAAGTTTTTATTTATTTATTTTTATTTTTACAGTGATGGCTGGATTAACTTTGTGATGTGAACAACAAAATGTAGGTGACATGGCATCGGTGATGATGTGAAGTGACCTGCTAGCATATACAGCGAGGCTGACAGGTGTTTTATAATGTCATTGCTAGTTTCTTAATATCATCATAATTTACTATTCTCTGAGTATTTCTTTTTTAACGCCATTTCCACCATCCTCTTTTCCCTGAACAGTGCCATCTCTAACAGATTTGTTGTGTGAGGTTAGAAGTGTAGAGAGTGAAATCGGCTGGTAGAATCCCAAAGCAGACTGCACTAATGAAATGTTATGACTATAAATTCTAAAGTGGGACAAGGATGACTTAAAACCAGCGGTGGGATTAGGGCAGGGACGAGGAGCAGCCACCTGCCATGGCTGTGTCCCTGGCTAGTGGGGGGTGACTGCAGAAAGGTGCAATTAACCTGTGCTATACATGAATAAAATAGAATGATAAGTTTAACTGACTAGTTTCTTTTGTTGACTAGTGAGATTAACAACATTTAACTGACTAATCATGCACATCCCTATCAAAACAGTGAATTTAGTGTGAGATGTCCAGTGTGTAACATTTAGGAGGATCTGTTAGCAGAAATGGAATATATATCATAGTTGTGTTTTCATTAGTGAATAATTATCTATGTCATTACCATAAAATTAGCAATTAGAGGTTGTGCGTGCTCTTCCATGGAGTATGCCATGTTGAACCAACATGTTACTACAGTAGCCCAGAAGTGACAAACCTAACACTGGCTCTAGATAGGGCCTTTCACGTTTTTCACGAGCTTCGCGGCCACCGTAGTTTCTCCTACGCACTTAGAGTGGGAGGGTGAAGCAAGGGTATTACAATCAGCAACTACACTGCTAGATACCACAAAACCCTACACACTGGTCCTTTAGGTTACTCTTTGAGCATTGACAGAATATACAGAAACTGTTTTTATGAGCCTTATTTGTACCTCCAATAGAACTGTTCTGCCAGTGTACAGTAATGTTTAACACGTTGAAGGTTATAAACCCTTATTATAGCCATTTATTGACATGTACCTACTACCACAAGTCCAAATGTCTGCAACTTCTTCTACAACTTCATAATCTAGTCTCAGCTGCAAAACATGAGTACACTTCCTTCATGTCCAAATTAGAACCAGAATAATATAATGAAAGTATACTGACTTTTAGAACACAACAGTTCCAACAGTAATTAAAAGTCGCAAAATACTGTAATAACCTGACAAGAGCTGTTTTTTGTTTTATCATCTAAGAATCTCTAATGCAGCTACAGTAAAACACTACTGTTTTTGGTGGGAGCATGCTTTCGTTACACTGGATCAGGATTCGTTGTGCACTGTGATGGGGATTTTGAAATTAGACCCAGTTCCTCTGAGTGAAACATTAGTTTTAGTGCCCCTGACACCAAGCATTGGAGTTGTGATTGCAGCCATATTGCACAAGCTGTCCATTGAATTTCTGCCTAAATGTGCTTTTTCTCCAGCACATACAGCCGTCACTCTTAATGAAATTACAGTGTCATCTCATTCACTCTGTTCCCCTGCCGTCCCTCTGCTCACTTCTCTCCTCCCTGATCCTCCCATTTCCCTTTCTTTGTCTTTCTCTCTCTCATCTCTCTGTTTTGCATCTGTGGGGACAAGTAATGAACGGCTTCTTTGCTCTGATTGGATGATGTACGAAGTTATTAGGTGGGATGAAAGCGTATATAACTCAAAGGATATGAAATGGAAAAGGGGAGAAAAGAAGAAGAAAGTGCAGGAGTAGAGATACTGAAATGTTTTGACAAGCAGCTTTGAAAGAGAGAGGATGGGGAGTGCTGCAGATGCGTGCATGTAACAATGGGAGTAGGTCACAGTTTCACTGATGCCTCCACCCTGGCACACATCCTTTGGGAAATCGTCCTACAGATCCCATTCCTGCATCTTCTGCCGCTCTCTTGCTCCCTGTGCTAGTCTGAAGAAGGCAGGTAGATTGCGCAGTGCCCTAGGTCCCTCCCTGGGGAGTGTGTGTAAGGGCGTGGGCGAAGTTTAGCACAGGGGGAACTCCCAGATGGTCCCTCAGTCCTCAAGAGATTCAGTCATGAACTGCTCCTTCATCTCCCTTATTAAAGCTGCAGCGAAGGAGACTGGTCAGTTCACTGACCAGAATAAATGACTGAGCTTTAAGATAAGTTGGGGGACCTACAGGGTTCTCCTTGCTGCTGGAGTAGCCTGACTGAGGCAGCGAGGTGCTGAGCTCAGGAGACAACTTAGATTTCCACAACGCAGAGAGCGCTTTGCGTAATTGAGGGGGACACTGGTGATATCTGAGAGCTGCCGCAAAGATTCTGTCTGTTTCTTAAATGAATGCAAAGCAGGCTGCAGGGACTCCTCTCATGAAACATTCAACCTCTCTATTCACCCTCCATCCTCTCCTGCACTGCCCAGCCCCCTTGATTATATATCTTTTATTTAGCGGGAGACAGACCAACTCTCTCACTTGACTTCATTCTCTGATGGCCCCAGCTCTTGCTAAAAATACCACTGGTAGCAATACAGTTGACTGATGCTTTAGCTTAAGTTATACAGCCGTTTTATTCATCAGTTTGTTGAATTACCAGCTGCTACATCATTTCAGATTCAGTCCATTAGTCCAAAAATGTACCTTGGGCAATTCACTAATTAAGAAATTGTTATTGAATACTGAAAGCCTAAACTCTGTTTTTTCTTTTTTTTTGCTGAATATGTGTATATCTTCTATCGATGTCTCTGTTCTAGAGAAAAATATATGACTTCTAAAAATGCAGCATAAACAGCTGTATTCTTTTCTCTTGTAGTACTGTGAAGTGTTAATAAGGATGGATAAGTGTTCCTCTGTTATGGTAATGATGTCAGAGATCAGTCATTATGTCATCATCTACTCTGCCTGGTGTCTTCCCTAATGGTAAACCTTAGAATAAGCCATTTTTATCTATAGGAAGAGAAAGTCCTCTCCCATGGAGGCTTCCATCTTGAACTGCCAGTAGCCCAGAACAGACAAACCAAACATTGGCTGTAGATAGGAAGTTTTACAGCCACCGTAGTTTCTCCTACATCCTTGGAATGCAAATGGTTGCAATCTGCAAGATGCCACTAAATCCTACACACTGGTCCGTTAAAACTAAAGCGCAATTGATGATGACAGTAATGTCATTAGTTTTGTAGCTAGTATTAAAAAATAAATGTTTTGACTTGATTATGGCACTAGACAACTGAAAACTACTTAAACATTTTAGATATTATGTATAAACTTCAAATACTGCACCCAGTAAAACTCCTCTGTGGCTAGTGTCTTTAAATTCCAACGTATTTGTCTAACCCATTTCCTTTTCAGGTTCTGTAAATCAGTGAATGTTATTCCTGCTCTCGACCTCTGGCGGAGGCACCTGTCTAATACGATGTTGTTTTCCTGTGTTCTCTTGCAGAGCCACAGCTGAAGGGCATTGTTACCCGGCTATACAGCCAACATGGATACTACCTGCAGATGCAGCCTGACGGCACCATGGACAGCACAAGGGATGAAAGCAGCTCATTTTGTGAGTGTGTGTGTGTGTGCGCGTGTGTGTGTTTCTGTCTCTAGCCTACACTTTTTTTGCTTTTTGTGGTGTCAGGTTAATGTTATTATAAAATGGATAGCTCAAATCAAGCAATCTGATTGGTTGTGGTTGTGGATTAGCTGTGGTATAATAACTGTATATAATGGCTATGACGTCTATTTCCCGCTGCTGATTACTGCTACAAAACTGCTACTAAATAAACCGAAAGAAACAAACATAAAGCAAAACATTAAGCAACAAAATAGGTTAGATAAAGGTGTACATTTTATATTTAAGACAGTGTCAAAGGAGCAATGAGTCCAAGAGATTTTGGTAAATTTCTCTGCCACTGTCAGAAACCATAAAGGCAAGCTCTATGGCCTGAGCAGCTGTGTTGGTCTCCATGCTGGACTTAACCGATACATTAACAACCCAACGCTCAGTCGGTCCTGTCTCTCCTCAAAGACACTCGGTTTATAATGTGCAATATTTTATTCACCAGCGTTGTGAAAACTCTTAGAAAGAAAGGACTCGACACAACAGTTCATCATGCGTCAATATCACAGGATAACTTTAAAAATGATAAAGACGGTTGGATCCCAACACTCCAGAGGGGTTAGTAAACAACGTGTGGTTTGACGTTCAACTACACTTTGGGCTTACTTAAGTATGCAACGCTGGCCTTAACAAGCAAACAGAGAATCAAAATGACCCACAGGAGAAGAATAAAAAGAGCACAAGGGGATTCATGTATGAACAGCCTGATGATCCTCTGCCCTTTTTCATCTATGGAGAAATATCTCTCCCACCTACCCACAGACGCACCAGCCTTCCCCCTAAAAGAAAAGTGATCTGCGAGGCAACAATGTTTGGTAAGTAGTCCTAGTGCATATTATTTTGGCTCAGACTGCAGTAACCTACCATACAGTTATTAAGAAATTATGTAATATATAACTGTGCAGTATGTAGGTAGTCTATTGGCTATCCTGGCTGTTGACCTAAGCAAAATGCTTTTTTGTTTGTAACTACATAAGTGTCATTTCATGTGTGTTACAGGTACAATCGAGAGCCAGTGGGGTCAGTCATCTTGCGACAATGTTGCCCAGAATATGCAAGCAAGCAGGAACGTAGAAGAAACATACAAATCACTATCTCTGCAGCACCACCATTCAGAGACTGATGCGGGTCTTGACATGAGAGAGATTATGGCTGGAAGTGGCCACAAATGCGAAACCTCTCATCAGAGCCATTGGCGACTGAAGCTTGATGCCTGGAGAAAGTGGCCACGTCAAGCAACACACCTCCACCTAACAAACAATGCAAGTCTACAAGCAGTTTTTAGTCATCCCATGGTTGCTGGACAGTTTTTCAATGGTTGCCCAATAAATGGAAACATACAAATATAAATAAAAAGTCAAATGATGAAAGCAATCTGTGATGATAAAAAATAAGATAGGCAAATGGGAGGCACTATTTTTTGTAAGAATGCTTTATTAATGCTTTACGAACATGTTAATAAAAATGGTTTAAAATGGAATGTGTCTATAACTTTCATATTGCCATACTTGGTAACTGTTTCGCACTGTGCCCCTTAACTGTGATATAATCACAATATAAAATATACCACAGACTGTAGTGAGCTACTGCTTAATTAATTTATTCATAATCTAGTCTCAGTAAACTGATTTAGGGCCACTCAACAGTGCGGCATGCAGTATTATCACCATTTTTGTTGTTTTAGCCAACTACTTTGCAAGGAGTCCGACATTTCAATGTTTCATCTCAGTACCTGCCTGTACTAATCACCTGAACTCTCCCTCCTCCTGCCTCTTAACTGGCGACTTTAAGCCGAATAAGTCGCCAGCTGACAGGGTTACTCGTTAAACAGGAACACTGGTGGGTTGCAGGACACAAACACCACAGCTGTGGCAAATTGGGATAATTAGTGGACCAGTCAGCATGTTCTACTAAAAGACTGCTGGTGTTTCCAGTTAGGGGTTTCCAGAGCGAGTGAGGCAGAAGCTACAGGACTTTCTCCTGTGTGGTATTATAATCCTGGGCTGTGAACTGAGGGATGATGCGTAGCACCACGTTCAGACAATGCTTCTGCTGTGTCAAGTCTAGTCAAGTTAAGCGTGGTGGAAACTGTTCCTTCTTAAAAAACAAATACTGAACATGATAAGATGTTGTGACATTACGGTTGTGGCGGTGGCTTCATGTGTACAGCAATAGTGCAGTATTTCATTATTGTGGTTATTTAGACAGCCCTACTAGTACCAGTTAGAGGACCAGTGTAAAAGCCAGAAGGTGTCTATACTCGAACACCTGCAGTATAGCTCAAGTATGGAACAGCTCCTACCCTCATTGGGAGCCAAATCTCCAACTTTGGTAAAGTTAATGCTGTACTGTACGCACTGAGCTAAAGACAACCACACTAGGTGTTACACTGTGCTATAGGGGCCCTGTGGCTGAAAGTTAGGAATTTGTCAGCTCATCTGTCAAATTTGTTCCAATTTGTACTGTTATTTCTGTCTTTCAATAGGGAGGAACATCACGTCAAACTGCCTGTCAAACTTTGGCAATAGAATGTGTCCTTGCTCATATGCAGAAATGCCCTATGTGCTCATCTCTAAAAACTTTAAATCTATACTGTGTTTCAAAGCACAGATACTGATTCTGATTGGATCTGCAACTCACAATCACATAAAGCTGCCTGAGTTTAAAGTGCTCCTGAGTGACATACTGCCACCACTGATGTGAATGTTCATCCTGACCTTTACCACGCTGGAAATAGGCAGTGTTCTCTTTGCAGTATAAATTCTTTGTATTTGCCCATTTAACGTTCCAGACTGTGGTTTGAATATGGAAGATTTTATTTTTTTATTCAACAACTGATATTATTTCTTAATGAGTTGAACTATCTATCCATGTTTCACTGTCTTTGCTTTATGTTACATTGTAGCAGGACATTTCCATTATTTACTTTGTATTGTATTTACTTTTTACTATTGTACTTTGATTTCACAATCTTCTCTGACTTTCTCTTTTTTTCTCTCTCTTTGTCATGCCCTATGTCTCCTACTTTACTCCCAAATTTAGCACAGTTCAACTTAATTCCGGTGGGACTGCGGATTGTGGCAATCCAGGGAGCAAAGACAGGGTTATACCTTGCCATGAATAGTGAAGGATACCTCTATACCTCGGTAAGTATTCCCTACAGACCTATGACTGAGTACAGTGTAAGGACTTAAGTGTCATTTACCACTTTAACACAGCTTTTATGCATGTATATTTGTGCTGTGTATAGATAATAAATGGTAAATTAAATACTAAAAAGCCAAACAGAAAACAAGAAACTAGTTGGTAGCATACGCAGTGCCATAGTTGGCATGAAGGATGTTCAGAGCTAATAGAAAAAGGGGTTGTGTGTTTGGTAGCTGCAGGTCTATATGAATGTTTGACAGAGAGAGGTGGGGGGTGAAAGATAGGGTGACAACCTGCTAGACTACCTGCATGAGTATTCCAATTAGTTTTGGAAAGACAGGGTGGGGGAAATGGCGATAGAGTGGGTGTAAAAATACTCATGGATAATCTCAAGGTCGCTTAAGTGCAATAAGTGTTGACCGGGCAGGTGGAATGTGGCTGTTTTTGTTTTGAATTTTAGAAAATTTAGATCAGTGCACCTTTCACAGCCCCATAATGTTTTACACAGTCCCTCATTTTGTCCAGTTTCACTCACTTTTAATATATATTCCAAGTGTTATTAAGGTGTCAGGTGCTTTTAGGCCAATCAAGACTGAATGCTTGCAAGCATGTTGACATAATGATCAAGTTCTGCCGTTAGTAATCAACTGAATCACTGAGGCAAGGAGTCTACAGTCTCTGAGAATGAAAGAGAAGCATGCAATCAGTAACCATTTGCTGGTAAATAAGAATGCTCTGATTATTTATTACATTAACATACATTAAACCAGGTCCAGGTGACATTCTAATCCAGTGGATGATATTATAAACATAGGGAACATAGGAAACAGAAATGTGTGAAGAAGTAGCAGGAGGGTGAAAAGAGAGATGGGGAACTCTTTGGAGTGCAATACCCAGAGTGTTACTATCACAACTTGTTTTGTCTAATTTAGTTAATGCGGCAAAGTACTCCATTAGCTCTTAAGTATTATTTCAATTATGTTGAACAAATTGTCAAAGGGTTAAGTGCTAAGGGCTTTATTCAGTATAAGTTACAAACTAGATTCAGAAAACGTAGAACTAGACAAAATCTACAACTTCAAATTGAGAGAAAGAGCATAGCTTTGTCTTTATGAGCAGTCGGTTTCAGGATTGAGCCGCTAACAGGAATTCTGGTGAGAATGTGTGCACAGTTCTAGAGACAGTATTAGGCTACACAGACTAATCAGTACCTTGGACAGCCCTAGAGACAGTTTTAGGGTATACAGTCCATTCTGTACCTTGGACAGTGCTTGTAACATTGCTTTAGCATGATATTATTGTCAAAACCATATTTTTTATCAAGGAATTGTTGAAGCCCGTCTCAGCATCTAGTGAATCTCTTTACCTTATACCTTTATTATTATGTCCTTGCTTTGCTGTCCATACTGACACACACGCACACACACACACACACACACCACACACAATATAGTACATATAATAGTTTATAGTGTAGTGTGTATATATACTGTGCATATAGGATATGCACATATAGTATGTATACTATATAAGAAATGTATATGATTTAATACAATTATATATTAAAGAGGATGTTATTTTTGAGCAATTGACTAGACACAGAAAAAATAAATGTCGTGACGTGAGAGCCCTCTATAAATACGTTGTATATATGTCTCTTTAGGGGTCATCTGTGTATTGGTTTCAACAGAATGTGCGGAAGATTACATGTGAAAGCAGCGAATGCAAGAGTGGTTTTATGCATATGAGATGTAAAGGAGAGAGCATCATCTGTACATGTGAGAGTTAAATCTTGAATTATGGCAAATACGCCATCTCCTATTATCTTCTGAGCCCCTGATTAGCATGCAATAGACTTTGGTGCCTTGCCTCTGTGAACAGAGAGAGAGGGGATTTCCTCAGCACCAGTCAATAGCTTTACTGCATTCCACACTGACCTCTTTCAGAGAATTTCCTCTCTCTCATACGCACATACACGCACATGCAGTTACATGAATGTGTTGATATAGGCGCTGTACAATAGAACAGCTGTCTTCTTGTGTAATATCATGCATGTTTGATTTTATGATCCCCACATTATTCTCTGTAGTGTATCTGATGTACTAATTTGCTGTGTAGGAGGGAGTGCAGGTGGCATGATATGGCCCTTTTATACATATCTGAGTGCTCTAAGAGCATGTTCACATTTTCTTTTACATTTAAAAGCATGCCAAAAGAGTGCGTGACACAGACAAGGAATGCTTTAATTTACAAGAAATAAGCTCATCACTGTCACTCTCAGAAGAGGCGAGGTGACGGAGTGACTAGTTGCTTCCTTCCAGCTATTTTCTCATCTTCTTGCATATACTGCCTTCTCTGCTGCTTACTGATGGTTATGTTGTTTTCTCCTAAATAACTTTTTTTCTTGCATCCCTCTCTCTATACTGCCCACACACACGTAGTGGTCAGCTTGTGGGGCCAGGCTCTAAAACAAGCAGAGGGTGTCCACTGCTGCCTTGTCTTAGACATACATCTCAGCCTCACTACCTGTAGGTGACAACAGGAAATGGCTGATCCTCATATAAAAATAGAGCTTGGCTCGTTTGTGCCCCATTTTATAATCTATGTGCTCTGGAAAACTCCTCATAGACAGAAAGGGAGGGCGAGAAAGAGAGAGAGAGGGGTTTGTGTTAGGGGAGGCTGACATGACTGTTGACAGGCAAGTTTTCACAGAAACAGGTTGGGTGCCAATCATGATTTAGACATGGGTTAAGCCTGTTATAAACATTGGGTGCTTTCATGCAGGTGTTTTTGTACAATTTACATTTTAAAGGTCAATCTTTGTTGTGTCAGACTGTATAATTACAATGTTGAGGCATGTCAGATTGGTCAGTGAATACCTAGAATTAGAGTTGTCAATACGGGCATATTTCACAGGATTGCTAACGGCTAAAATGAAGCAGATCAAATAGTGTTGCAGTTCCGTTCTCCTTTACCACAGTTGGCTCTACTGTGCGAGCATTTCGCTGCGTAACGAAACGCATGATGCATGATGTAAAACATTATTTGACTTCAGACAGAGAGCTTGGAAAAATGCATGGATTCTTAAACTCAGACACTTAAGAGTCTTTTATCTGTCCTCCCTCTTTCTTATCAGCAAAGAGCAGTGTACAAAACATTCAGGTAGCAGCATCTCAATTTTAGCTGTTGCTATCAACAAACTGACAAAAGTGGCTGGTGACAGGTCATTATCAGCTGTCGCTAATTCATTCTAAAAAATGCATGGCCTTCGTGGTTTCTCCTACACGCTTGGAATGGCAGAGTGAGGCAAGGGCTACACTGGAAGCTACACCACTAGATGTCACTAAATCCTATTCACTGGCCCTTTAATAGTTTTGAACCAAGACCTTCAGTATATAGATGAAGTAGTATAGATTAGCTTTTATTTCAGTGAGTCAGATACATATTTAATCAACATTAACTAAATGTAAATATCAGATTGGACTCAGATCAGGATCAGGGCCAAAAAACATTGGCATGCCTTATTTAGATTGGATGGTTTTTATACGGGTTTCAGTAGAAGTCACATTGTGAGAAATTGGTCGCTGGCTGTCTTTGGTCCCCAGACTCTAAATCAACCAATCAATGTAGGACTCTTTTTGGGTTGACTAAAGATTTCACCACGTTTTTCTCACAGTTGTCAGCTCTCGCCTTGGACAGCACACAATCACACAGCCTATATGGGCCTTTAATGCATTAAAAAAAATACGATTTCTTGACATCTGTGTGGGGCTGTGATACTTGTGTGTGATAGAGAAAGAGAGAAAAACACACACAAAGACACCAGAGTGGGACAAAGAAAGAGAAACAGCATGAGACTTCTTGATGAAAAGCTGTGTCCTTCTATTCTTTTCGTGGGAGGATTGCATTGAGATGCAGGACGACACCAGCAGCAAGATAGCATCGCTTTTATCACAGGACTGGATAAAATGTGGACATTAGAAAAAGTAGCAGAGAGAATAATTGGCCAGAGTAAGAGAAAAGAAATGAAGTGCAGAAACACAATGATAAAGACAGACACTTTGCCAGGCCACCAATTAAGAGCACTTAGAGGAGGCAAAACCTATTCTTTCTGATTGACTCACGATATACCTTGTAACAGTGCTCTCCTTCCAAAATGGCCTCAGGGATATATCAGAATGTAGACCTATGGTGATGATGATGATGACACAGAATCAACCACCCCTTTTTGTGTCCTAGAAAATTAAAAGCAGGGTGATTTCTGATAAAGGCAGCAGGCAGTGTGTCACCTCTGTCATTGAGGGTCAAAGAGGGAATGTCAGCTACCACTCCTCTCTCAGATACATTATATTGACAGGGGCCTTCCAGCTGTCAGTCAACACGGCAGAGGCATGAGTCCCCCGCACATCACTATCCACTCTGCTCTTGTCATGCGAGCAGCATGCCTCCCTGGGCTATCATAAAGCATTAGAGAGAGATCATACATGTGTGGTGCTAGACAGTATTAACTGCCAGTCTCATCTTCTGTAAACTCCTCTTAATAACCATGTCTATGCCCTATTGACTTACGTAACGTGGCGTGTCATAGTGCATCTACATCTGGCCCTCGACAACAACATCAGCAATACGCCCTGCTGGCGGTGTTCTGCATTGCATACACTCACAGATTGTGTGCATGTGTCTATGTGTGTGTAACAGAGTGCTGTTGTGAATGAGTTTGCATTTCATGTTATGACAGGAGTGGGTTGCTGCAGCAGTAACGCAGTACTGTGGAAAAGCAGAATTCATAGCACCCCATAGATTACACTGGTGGGCTTGATGGGACAGTCAATAGATGCAGGAAGCCTGTATGACACTGTGACCCCTGCTGTCTAAATAGGGGACTGCAAATAATTGCACGTCAGAAATGCTAAAACGTGTTTTGAATTCCAGAAGTAGAGATACATTTTCAGGGGTGTTAGTAGTTATTGCATGCTTTTGCATGTGTGATGAAATGAAAGTAAACAAGATATTAAACATTATTCGTGGATTCACTTCATCTTTTTGGCCATAATTGTCATTCCTGCTCTTATATCCTAATTATATGCAGGGAAAGATGTCACATTAAGGGAACTCTGCCCTATGAGTGCATATTATTAGTACTCTGCTGTCCTTATTTGGTCGTAAGTGCAATCCCAGTGTATGGTGGCATGGAGAGTTAAGCTTCCTGAAGCAGGTAGAATCGATGTAATCAGACACGAGAGATGAGGAAGGAGGTGGTGTGTGTGGGCGGGGGGGTCGGGGCGCTGCTCTGCATCATAAAAAGGTTCTTCCCATCTTGGGGATTCTCAGCACGGACGCTACATATTACCTTTGTCGTCTGCTTTCATTTAAATTCATTTTTGGCTTGAGACACATAGAAGGGAAGCTACCCAAGTCTCTCAATAAGTCACGGTTGAAGAAAGAGCTTTTTATTTAATTTCTAGTCCAAGCACCCAGCGGTTAGATGGAAATATTCCCCCATTGCTCTTAAAAATGTGCAACCCTCAACACATCCTCAGTAATTATTCATCTGCGCAGGTACATCTGGTCGTTTGAGTGATACCTTCAGTCAGTACACCCTTGGTGGTCTCTGTAGTTCTGCTGTGATTTTGAGGTTACCTCAAGGTGAGTTGGGGGTAGTTACAGCAAAATATTTGTATCAGTTAGGGAAAGTCATATCAGGACATTCATTAAATTGTCTTGTTTGCTTTCTCAGTGTATTTTTTTTCCTCCCAGACCATTGGAGACTTTTTGTGTGTGGGTTCTATCATTAGGCTAATTTCAGGGGACTGATTATAAAGGGTAATTACAGGATGACTTGGAAGAGGGGTTATCACTAGTGTCATTTCAGAGGTTGAGCTGAAAGGTATTTTGCTGGAGTGATGGGTTCTCTTTCCAGAGGGACATGACTGTTAGAGCATGGGGTGCTGGTGACTAAAGCCACTGCCAGCCCAGCGTTCCTGCTTTGGCCCTGGGGGAGATGCAAAGAAGCAGACCTCTCCCTTTCTCTCTCTTCTTAATCTCCTTTATTACCCAGCAACCCCTCTGTCCTCTCCGAGTGATCTTCTCCTCTCTTTCCTGTCTCTCCTACCTTTCCCCTTCTGTCTCCTGCACTTCCCACCCCTCTTGCTCTCTGGCCTGATTAATAATGAATGAAGCAGATCATCTATCGATCCCATCCTCTTTGTGTTAGCACAGCAGAAGATATCAAACCTGTCAGAGGATCTTAAAATAGCTCTGCAATGTGGTGGTGATGGTAGTGGGAGAGTTTGTTGAGTTAAAGGTAGGGGCTTGTTTTATTTTTTATTTTTTTATGGGGGCAAGACAGAAGTTAAAAGGGCATAAACTGTGGTGGAGCCGCAGGAAAGGAGTGGACGGATAAAGGGCACAAAGTCCCGAATTGCCTTCTCAGCTTAAGGATGATGCCTTCCTGTGAAGGAGAAAGGTGATGATCTGTGATAAGTGTGAAACTGGAGGTCTCTTATACCTTCTCAATCTACTTTTTGCTCTTTATTAAAGCTCGCCTATGCCAAGTTGTGATCTTTTGGCCCTCTTCTGTCACCCCGAGTCTCACAGAAATTCTCCACTCAGCCATTTCTACCCTGCTGCTCTCACTTAATCAATCCAGCAGATTGGCTTTGCTCTCTGACAGGGGAAGGACCCTGTCAAGACCCTGATGGAGACTAAGAGAGATGTATATCTGTCGCTATTGGTTAATATCACCAGTCAGTATTATGCAGGGTTCACTAGTCCTTATGTTGAGGACAGAGAGGGAGGGGAAGTGCTGCTGGAACATGATCGTTTACAACGAGCGGCTATACTGTTGGATTTGATCCAAGTTTTGCTAATTCGATTTTGAAATGTCTATTCAGATTTAGCCAGTCATGGACAATTGACAGTACATGAGAGTAGCCTATATATAAGGGATAATTCTCTTTCAGGGGAATAAAGGGGCTGAATTTAACTATTGTTTCTACATACCCAGAGTCTAAAAAAATTGTCAATGTAGTGGTTCCCAAATAATTATTTATTATATTATCAAGTAAATGCAAAAAAATGTCCCGAATGTGAATATTTGCTGGGGATTTTGTTCATGCACACAAAACTACAAATGTCCTAAAGACCTAGCTAGGTCAGTTGGTTTTCTGAACTTGGGATGCCTCAGAAGCAGTCACTGCAGTCATTTACATTTACAGTATGTAATGTATGTATGTGTATTGAATTTGTTTTTGTGCTGGTGTGTGTTTCATTGCTGCTTCTCAGCTCCTTTCCCGTGGGAATGTATAATGTTTAGCAGAGATGTTTATGCTGTTTCTCCACATATAGTATGTATATTGTCTTGCTGGTCCCAAAGGACCAGGATGTTCACACTTTCAAAGAATTCAAAGAATTCTATCCATCCTTTCCCTCAGGAAACACTCACCCAATTAATGTATTTCACTGCTGGTGTCCATGTATTTTTGTGTGTGCTTACTTGTACTGGAGTTCATGTTCAAAGCCTGATAAAAATGTTACAGTTTTCTCATGACATTTGCACATTATTTTGCTTTGTTTGCTAATATGAATGCACCCCTCGCCCCCACCCTTCTCCTTTTGCATATTTCTTTTCAGGAGCATTTCACTCCGGAGTGTAAGTTCAAGGAGAGTGTGTTTGAGAACTACTACGTTACATACTCCTCCATGCTCTATCGTCAGACCCAGTCTGGCCGCTCCTGGTATATCGGTATCAACCGTGACGGCCAGATCATGAAGGGCAACCGGGTAAAGAAGACCAAAGGAGCTGCACACTTCCTGCCTAAAGTTATAGAGGGTTTGTGTCCCTTGTGTCACTTTAGCACAATTAAAACCAGTTTATCTTAGTTATTAATCACCTCCTTAATTATTAACCAATAGTTTCTATCTTTGTCACACAGTTGCGATGTATAAGGAGCCATCGCTACATGAGCTCGCCAGTGAACCAGTAAGTCCTCCTCGGAAGACAGTGAAGACGTCAGATTCGCCGTCCCTAAAGAATGGACGGAAAGAAGCTCCTAAGGCTGATGCCTCATAGCACAGGAGACTGAGGGTGGGACAAAGGGCAGCAGTGACACTGGGAACACAGTCGCCCATTACGCACTGAGGGTGGCTGAGGGAATGGCCCACACTGGCCACCACATTCTAGAAGTGCACTACAAGATGCTGAGGGATATAAGAGTCAGCAGTACATCAGCAGCCGAGAAGGCCTGAGAGAAGAGTCCCCCCCCCCACCTGTCACCACAGAAAGAAAGCCCAGGGCCATAGCAAGAACTACTACCACCTCCCCCTTCCACTGTTTGCCTCTTTCTCTGCCCCCTGTGACTCCCTAACGCACAGTCTCCTTCGTTTCTCTGTCACGCTGAAGCTTCTTTGTCCCACCGACAATTCCATCTTTTCTCACATGCCTACCCACCGTCTGCTTTATTGTACTGTATATTCACTACGCGCGCATTTCCAGCGCTGACTCTGCATCATAATCCTCACCCGTGGGCCCCCTCTTGAGCCCTAAAGTTGGTGACAGTGTGGCTCAGCCAGCTTTTCCACCCACCATCTGCCCACCAGCTAAGCTAATCACCAAGGTCAACTCAAGTTCAAAGTGAGATGAAACGGGGCAGAGAGGAAAGATCAGCAGGAATCCTGGGTCAGGTCAGGTCAGCTGAGCAAGATGAGTGTTTGAGAAGGTGTGTGGACAAAATAACAGCTGCATTAAAGAACTTTTTTGTGTGAATAATTTAGACCAATCCTGTGATAACAGTGTGGAAACAATGTAAAAGATGAGTATGATGATGATAGAGACGATTATAATAGGAAGTTTATGAAGCTCACTAGAGAGGCACTGCTTGCATGAGTAATAATATGAAAAAATAAATAAATAAAACAACTATTCTTCCTGGGAAGGTGAGCCATAAAATAGTGGAGTTTTTCAACTCCTTGTGGATATAGTAAAAACGCCTGAGCAATATTTGTACCAGCAAGCCAGAAGATAATTCTCAGTGAAGACAAAAACAAAAAAACAACTGTGTGAATGAGTGAGAGAGTGAACGGCACCCTCTTTCCAGCCTCTCTTCTCAACCAGGTGACCACTTTTTATATTGCACTAGCTTGTTAAAAGGCTACAAATGAACAACTGGGTCGCGTTTTAAATCCAGAGTGGATCTGAACTCAGTCACCTGAAAAAGGAACCGTAGTGTGTACTTCACTCAGCATCTGCTGTCAGCATAAAGCCAGGTTTGAAGCAAACATCAAAGCAAGAGGAGCCTCTGAGCTGGAGCACTTGTTATTCTGAGGATGTCTGGCAGCTTATCCACTCGCTAGCTTTATCAAATCACCTTGGAAGAATCACCCTCAAAAAATGTAGTTGTCTGAATGAAAGTCTTGATGTGATTGTGTTTTAACCCCTGTGTGTGGATCTTCTGCAGTGTGGATGCACTGTAAGAGATCTCTGTGTGAATGAGTGCCCGTACAGAGGATAGACAGAGATACTGTGGGTAACCTTTATCATGTCCTTCAGACAGGACACAACATTGTGTCTTTGATATGTCTGTCAAACGGTGATACAAGGTGAACAACCGTCTTATGTACCATTTACCATCAAAAAATCAGGGAAGGGGTAAACTGGGCAAACTCATGGGGACTGACTCATGAGTATATTTCGTTTATGTGCAATCAACTAATGTTAAGATATGCACAGGGTCTTTTTTTAGAACAATTATGCAATGACCTGATAGAAGTTGAGGCTTCTAAATGGGAGCTGTCAGGGTATTGCTTGTTGTCATGTCAATGATGGCTGCTGTAGGGTGCTGTCTGATCTGGTAACGCGCAGAGTGAAAAAAATGTCACCGCAATGTTCAGTCAAAGCGAATGTGCAAGGATACCACCAACAAACACAGACAGCAGTAAGTCCCTTGCTATGTCAGAAAGAGCGACGCTGGATGTGGAAGGCAAACTGTAAAAAATACTCATTATATGGTCGCTAAAAATCACAGATAATCTCTAGGGGGTTCAAAGCACTGGGATGGTGTCTAATTTTATGGGTAGCATAATGTGAAGGAGGGTTACAGAATGTGAAACAGAGGCTTTATGAATGTGCTGCATTGAGGCTGAGAGTAAGTCTGAAATAGGGTGATGAATTGTAAAGAGGTCAGCGCATGGAGGCTGTTATTTAGAAAGAGTGAAGGATTAGCAGGTGTATTCTTGAGGAATGTTGATAAGGAATTTCTGCAGTAAAGTAAGCAAAATACTTGGCAGGGTTTTATGCGGCATGTGGATATGATAATTATTGTAAGACAAAGAGGCATGTAAGGCACTGCGCGCTATTTATGACAGGGAGTCTATGGAGGGAATTACTTGGAGCTTTGCATTTTTTTCATTAAGTCTTTAATTTTCTGGGCTTTTCCAGGGGGGACATCATTCACTTTACATTTGGATATTTTGTCCTTATAGCAGATTTTTCTAAATGAAATCTCCATTTTTTCTTTACTGTACAAGCCAATGCTCTCTCTCTCTGGTGAATTTGGCACAGCCTAGCATGGTGTCTAACTGTGCATTACTAACTGCTGTATGATATCAAAGTGTGTGAACAGCAGGTAGTACACAATGCTATGGGCTTATTTTAGCTGTCAGGACTCATACAGTTTTTGTGTATTCCATCTGGGAGCTTCTTCATGCCAGTTCACATTTCGAAGTTGATGGTAAGTCCCGTTCTATAAAAGGAAAGCACTTGGAGGTGCAAAGCAGTGAGTGGCTGACAGCGAGGAACCCTGCATGCCAAATGAGACATGTTCAAATGTCTTATTTTGTCCAACTGAAAGTCCAAACAATTAGTTTACATGATATAAAACAGAGAAAAGTCTAATCAAATCAACCCATTCCTGGTGCTAGAACCAGCCATATTTTGGGACACTTTTGCTTGAAAAATGACAAAAACGATTTTTGAAATAGTTTCTGATTCATTTTCCATTGGCTAATTGTTGCAGCAGAAAGTAAGCAGATTTAGAATTAAACCTCACCATGACTTTACTCATGCCCCTTCTTATGTTAAACATATAATCCAAAGATCCAATTGCTCCACAGATTTCTTTCCCAAAAAGCGAGCAGTCCTTACTATTGTAATAGCAAAGAACGCCACAGCAAGTTGTCCGACGGTGATACTGCAAGTAGACACACAAGAACAGAGCATGTATAGAAGACTGATGTTGAATGTGACGTGAACAAAGTAGAATGTAAGACAGGAAGATTAAAACACGATGAATGTGAAGTAAAGGATGTCGAGAGGTTCAGAGACGAGTAAGTGCAATGAAGGCAACAGAAGGTCAGACGCTGGTCAGGATCTTGAATGTAAAATTTCTGTAAAAGGAAGGTTGTGTAAAGTCGATAGAAAAAGCTAGCCGTAGAGTAGAAGAGATATTAAGAGGGTCTGTGATTTGAAGAATTCAGACAGTGTTCTGTTTTTCCTTTGACGATACATTTATTTTGCAAAGCTAACAACGAGGTGGTAAAATGGAAAATGAAAATACCGATATAGTTTTTGTGCCCACGCATGAGAGATTTAAAGTCGTAATCCCTTTCCTACACACCTCCTTAACCGCAGCCTACAGTATCTACAGCCCATTAACTTTCTTTTCAACACTATGTTGCCTGTGTAGGTGTATACTTACAGTGTGTTTATTCGGTCTGTGTTTCTGTGTGTGTGTGTGTGTGTGTGTGTGTGTGTGTGTGTGTGTGTGTGTGTGTGTGTGTGTGTGTGTGTGTGTGTGTGTGTGTGTGTATCTATGATTAAGAGTAAGGTAAGACAAGACAGAGAGGCAAGGAGAAAAAGAAAGGGCACGAGATTGAAACAATGATCGATAGACTCAATAAAACACAAACGAGAGAACAGCCACCCTGCGATGGGTGCAAAAATTTCCCCAAGGTCTGCCAGAGACAGCAAAATCCATTTGTTCATAATGAACTCAGAGGACTGTTGTTTGATTCCTACCTGTGAACTCAGTTAGACGACAACAGAGGGAGGAGTTTTTTCTCAGGGCCTCTACACTGGGCCTGACAAACACTTTCCTCTTGTTTGAAACAGTGGGAGCGTCAGCAGCCATACCATGCACCATCATTTGAGACACATATCTGCTAAAAAAACATAAACCATGTCCCTAAACCTGGCCTTCTAAAAGCCACTGGAGAACTGGAGGCACGTTAAACCTTTCAAGCACTGGGCATTGCTTGAAAAATTTTAAAGTTTGTCTTAGGAGGTTCTTAAGAGATTATAGCAAACAAACAAACAAAGAAACAGGGAATCCCTCTACTTTATCACGAGTTAGTGGGGAAAAAGAGGCAATAATGATATTATACTGCAGCTAAGTCACCACCGGTGTTAGGGTTAGTGCAGTGCAGGGCAGATTTAATGCTTTTGTTGCACAGTACAACAACTACCAACCTCCAGGGATATTTTTGGAACAAACCTTGGTAACATTTGATTTGAACTGAAGAACCAACAAGGCATTTTAATCACATTCATTAATTAGGGAGTACAGTATAACAATACTATTTTCTGTTAAATTAATGTGTGCAACATGAGACCATTGCGAGCTATGCATCTTTTGATTTTAAGATTTTATAAAGTCTGTACTCGGGATTGTGTTGTTGTCTTTTTGTAATCAAGGTGTTTAAAATGTAGAAATTTCAAATGATGCTCTGGTCCTTTGGTGAATTACCAAAAAAACAGAATGATCCAACTTTAAATAAGACCCTCTGATCAAACAGAAACTCATCACTGTCCAAAATCACCATTCATTCTAGCGTTATATTCTCATATGCTGCATGTATTTGCAGTCTGCGTCAATATATTGCCCCCAGATACTGCTGTGCCAAGTTGCCGACATGTTCTAACCGGTATGCATACTGAAATGTGTACCGTGCAGTTTGTCAATTTATGGGTAAAATCTGTGTATAACTGGCTCCCTCTAATGGAAGCACTTGGTTTCTTAAAGACTGTTAATGATGGGCATAAACAAACACTGTCTGGTTTGTAGGCATCATTTCTAAACATCAATCCAATCACACTTGAAGCGGTTTTACTGGGCTGCGATATAATAGTCCCATTTTCACACAGAATGTAACAGAGTAGTGCTTCACTCTTTTATTTACTGCAATTTATGATGAGGTTCGGTTGTTTATATCATGCTGTAATGTGATGATAACACATGCATGATGGCTTCCAAATGTGGTTACGATGCCCTGTTATCGATTATGTGCAACACTTCCAAATACAATAGCTCTTACACTCGATTGGTGCTTCCCTATTGAATTATTTTAATGTGTCACAACTAATTTGTACACTACAGAATTCCGTACAGAAGAATTTTATCCAGTCAATATATAACAATGAATTGACTAAACAAAACAATGCTTAGCATCATAAAGTATTTCTGTTGGGATTAGAAACTATATATCTAATGTTTTGGGACAGTTTGTGGCAACTAAATTACACAAACCCCATTAAAAATAAAATCTAAACCATTCCTTAAATTATAATACAAAATGTATGTGTGCCACACTCACTGTTCCTCTGTATTAAATATTGAAAGCCGAGATTGATACACCAAAAAGGTTGAGCCTTGGCTGCAACACTGTGTTTAAATATTCCTAATTAATTAAGCATTCGTATTAAATGCCACAAGCCAGAAGAAGCCATTTATTTTGTCCTGACTATTTTTTGCTGCAGCAGCATCATATTTATCCTCTTTAAGTGAGTGGCATCTTTGAGCAATGCTAAAAATGTGCAGGATGTAAAATTTCTCTCTATAACGTAGCAGCATGCTTCCAGACCACAAAACCTGTCTGGATGGCCTAAATGTACGGATCGCTGCCAGTTTACATGTACGTTCTGTTAATAATACAAATAGTGTATATCTGATTTTCTATGTCAGGTCTAGTTTTTTTTCAGATGTGTACTTAAATAGTTGGTGTTGACAAATTATTATTATTTTTTTATTGTCTTTCAGTTGTTCTACATTGTCATGTTTCCTTTCTAATGCAAACTCCTGAAATGGAGGAAGAGTTATTGTTGTTCTCCCTATTTGATGTATTTTTGTCTTTGGTCTGCACTGTTGTATCCACACTGATGTGTCTCCCTGAGTGAACTTCAGCCAAACTGAGTCCCACTGTGCGACTGAGTTGTGTGTTTGTGAAAGATGCAATGTATTCAAGCGAAAACAGCAGGGTAACAACTCCTAAAGCCAACATGTGTCCTGTCACAGACAGCATTGACCTTGCTGGTCTCAGAGTTACGGTCACGCAAGTCTTCCAGAAAGTACCCACAACCTCTCTCTCCTACTCTTATGGACTCTTCTTGGTTTTAACTCCAATCTACTTGTCTTCCGAAAAACTGACAATGAAAAAAAATTTAAAAAGAACAAAATAAAAAAAAGCCATAAATAAAAATGGGCCTTGGCACTGATTAGCCACAGAGAGAAGGCCTGAATCCTCAGACACCTTCTAAGTGTTACCAGGGATTTAGACACACGTTGGACTCTTACAATGAGAGCCAAAGCAAGCGGCAGGAATGCACTGGCTTTTTATGACCACTTTGGGAAACAGCAAACAGGAATAAAGACCAGCAATATGCAACGAGAACTACCAGCCTGCACTCAAGGAAGGGGAAAAAAATTCAACAGGCTAACAAACTACAATCAGGAACTGCAGGCTACAAAGGCAACCAGTGGTCTGCAATAATAACTGCTAATTGTCGAGACTGACATGGGATTTTTTTTGCAAAGCATGCATACGTCACTGTTCTTTGGCTCATTAGGGATGACTCCCTCTCAGCATCTGCAGACACAAGCCCTCGATTCACCCTCTCTCCATGTTTGCCATCAGACCTGTGTACATTTCTACAATAACTCCTACATGAATTGAAAGGAGATGTCTTATTCTGGAATATTATTCAATAAAATAACATATATTTGTATGATTGTAAGCAGTGCCCTTTGATGTTTTGTCTTCTCTTTTTTTTTACATCCTTTTAAAACGCTGTATTAGTGTGCTCTTTAATCAAGGCGCTGGAGGTTATCTATATATTTGTCCTCAGTCTATTTGTCCCTGCAGTCACCCAATGAGCTATAGGCTTTAATAAATAGTCTCTAGACTATATAATATTCAAATATATATATTCAAATGAGGAAATACTCATTTTGAAGGTTACTACGCAAAAGTTAAAGCTATGATTGCTACTACAAATTTTAAAATAAGTGACGGGGGGGTCCCAGCTGAGCTAAGAGATTCTTTCTTTTCTTCCTATATCTTTAAAGAGTGTGTGGAATTATGCTTTCCCAGAGTCCAATAAACAGTGATTTTCATGCTTGCGTGAGCAGTTTAAAAGAAGGTTAAATAGTCATTTTAACAAAGCTAGTTTTAAGAAGCTGTGCCTGCAGTAGCCATGAGACAGCTTGGTTATTTGGAGGGCTGGCTTGAGAGCTCAAGGAAAATCTAACTACAGTGTATTGCCTCAATTCAACTATTAATTTGGTCACTTGGAGAGCTGAGTAAAATACCATGTTATTCAAAAGATGTCTTTTACTTAGGGCTACATATATGGTAAAAAAAAAATCATTCTGAACCAAACAAACATGTTTTCGTAAATCTAGAGAACACGATTGGACAGGATATCTTTTCAGATCTCTGCAATTTCAATAATATTTCATTTAATTCTGAGCATATATTTACTTAACAGCGATATCACACACACAAAAAACTGGGCAGCTCCTTTCAACAGATAGTGTATTTGATAATCAGTAAAATTAATCCTCTGGGTTTATAACACTGATACTTAACAGTAACACTATAATTACTTAAGATTGCATGCAATCTCTTAAAGCTTTGTCCCTCACAGTTATACAATAATATATAATATACAATGCTTTCACACACAACTATAGCAGAAACACACAAATTTCAGCTTGTCTACTTCATCTCAGAGTTGGATATAGGACATAGGGTTGTGCTCAACCACCGATTAAGACTACAGAGGCTTGTGTAAGCACCATAGACTGAATGCCCTGCAAACATTGGTAGCCTATATGAAATCCATGCTCTTTCTAAAAAAAAACATAAAGATATCTAATCCAGAGGTACATGCAGTACTAGGTACATACTTGTATATGTATCAACACATTTAGTCAGTAAAAAGAAAAATCTATCAGCTGCAGAAAAGTTGCTCTATGCATATTAATGTTAGCTAGTTTCAGTTGAATCTGTCTTTGGGGTCACTGAGATCTGCAGGGCTAGCTAAATTAATCTAGTACCTGCTGGTCCAACATTGTGTCACTCCCACTGCCTTCACAGTTAAAGTCTTTGCTTTCCCCGTCCGTCAGCTGTAGGCTATTGGTGCAGTTGTCTTTTTCTTCCCTTGCTTCTTTCTTTCAAAACTGTTTCTCTTCTGTAGCCTCTTTCCACCAACTTGGGTTTGGTTAGCCCGCCATCTGAAGTCTTGCTTACACGAAACAGCACATGGGTCTGTCGATGACCCCCTGTGGCAGAGGGTAAGGGTACAGGGACATGGCCTAAGCTTACATGTTTGGGGGCATGTAAGCTACAGTATATACTCCTAAAACAAATACATAAAATGCCTTTCAGCTTTTTTGATATGTGTATGTGTATATAAGTCTTTTTTTTCTTATTTTTTTTCAGGCATTCAATGATGTTGCTGATCTGATATACTTTTTTTTTACACCTTTAGCTATAGGTCAAAGATGCCAATATTCATCTTTCTTTGTGCATGCGATATGCACTCGGAAATCTGTACGGAAAAGCAAATTTGGCAAGACCAACGGCAAAGCTACTTTGAGAGAAGGGAATTCAGCTCGGATAGGTAATAGTCTCAATGCCCCTTTCATGAGATTGCAAACTAGGGTATGAACCTTGGCAGTTTTCATTTCAGGTTTTTTACATCACAACCCACAGTACCCTCAGTTTGCACATGAGCTGGTTCCTTCTCAACAACAGGGCCCATGGGCAACCAAAGAGGAGTTGCTTCACTTCCACCACTCAATTCAATAAAAAAAAAATCACAGCCATATGATTCTGCCTCACTCTGGACAGCGTTGGGGAAAATCCAGGCTATTGGAGAAAACACATCTAGCAGAGGCCACTCTTGTGCAAATGCATCCACTCCCAGTGGATTGTGTAGAGGGGGAGACAGCGGACATAGTGCGTTCAACCTTCAGATTGTATAATGTAAACCAACTGCCTTGGTGCCAGAATACTTTGAATAGAAGCCCTCTAGACTTTGCTCATGTGGCACTATTGGGATGCCCGTTTGTTTACTAAGGTTGATATTTTCTCTCCTTGATTTCTCTTGCACTCTGAGAGTGATGAGACCACTGGATCTTTGCTCCCCCCTAGCATGTCTTTTGGCTGTATAATCCTGCCCTGTTGCAGCCAACTGTGGTTAGCATGCCAAGTTGGCTGAAATGCCCAAACTGAGCTCCTGAAATTTTTCTTCCATGACACACTGGAGAACTGAACAGACACAGCCAGAGAACAGGGAACAGCTGGCAACTTCTCTAGCAATGGAGTCTTCTGCTAAGATGACTTCTTTTTCCAACTTGCCAGCTGACTAAGGGGAAAGGGATGATTAGCTAGCCTGGATGGCAATGAGGTTGACAGGGTTTTTAGGCCAGGTGGCTTTCCTCAAAAGTGCACCTCAACAGGCACTTGGGCCTTAGTGTGTTCGGGGATGCAAAAGGAGGGATTGGGGGAAAAGTCTGCACTGTGTTTTCTGTGGAAAGCAGAGCTCATCCGTCTTCGTTTTGTCTTTGCAACACTGGAACGTCCAAAATATCCTCTTTCCTAGGCCTACTACATACTCGTCACCAAGAAATGGACTGCTTAGGAAATTCAGAGTCTCTCTGAGGGTCTGGTCTGGTATGGGAACTACTCTGCTTAAAACATTAGAGCCCCACAGACACTCCCCACCCTGCAGGACTTACATAGCACAGTATTATTGGCCAGAACTAGCCAACAGGGACCTTTCTGCCCATACCTATATAAGACCGTAGCTGCATTAATGTGAGGACATAGGCAAAAGTCTGCAAAAGTATCATCTCAACGTAGCCCATACAATTGACAATTGCATAAATGTTACTTGACAATTCCTTTTTTAAATTTTTATTGCAGTTATACGGTATATCTGTATGGCTGTACGCTACAGGCAACACTTGTAGTAAGCACAGATTTAATGTTCCCCCTTCCAAATAATTGTACCACCGGGTCCATACCACCAAATTTCACTGCACATATTGAATATATGGGCATGTGACAAATAAATCTTTGAATCTCGAATCATCTTTATCCAACAAGTTGTTCAGGTTGAGCCATCTCGCCCTCTCTTGCAGCACCAACATGACTGCACTTCCCTGTTGCCTGGACAGTGCAGCACAATATCCAAATGTCCATAATCCTGGTTATCTCGTCCTGCAGAGAAGTCTTGGGTACACTGGCCAGATCATCAAAAAGCTCCACTTGGTAAGCTGTCAACATGGAGGTGAAGTTAAGAACTCTCACAGGCAAGGCTGCTGCCTTATAAGCTCTTTCCGTCATGGTGGAGGTGGGCTGCCACCAAGGGTTCCATGAGTGGCAGGGGGGCCATAGACTGCTTATCCATCCTTTCAGAACCCATGGAAGACATCCCTTGAATAGAGGTTTTGTTGGAATATGAGTTATCTTTCCAAGAGACCTTAAGTTCTTCCAGGAACTTGGAAAGTTGTCCCATGTCCCCCTTAGCTTAGGGTTATTTCTTTGCCTCAGCCACAGCCTCTGCCATGACGGAGAACTATGTAATTTTCAGCTTTTCTGTAGCGCACTGGCACAGGTTCACATCCACGCTGGGTCAAGGTTAGGCGAGTGTAAATTGTATGTTTATCTGTGTGTGGGGGCTTGAGTGTCATTGAGTGTCTATAAACATACATTTAAATATACAAACCTTGCACTATCATTTGTGATACACAGTTTTACCTACCAATTGCAATGGCCATAATCTTAATTTTGTCATCAAAGTGGGCTCATCTAATGAAGAGTCATGTCTTCTCAAATTGTTTAACCGAAATGTATCAGATGGATGAATAGCTGCAGGCAATTACTTCTAGTTCACAACCCAGAAGTCAATTAGACATTACAATCTCTCTGTGATAGCCGTGGTAAATGGATGATGGCTCATGTTCCACAGACTGGGATAATTAAACTACAAGTCATACACTAGAACAAGCTGAAGTTGAGCAGCATCTGATCTGAGCAGATTATTGTGCACTCTGGGCTGTCATTGACTTTCACAACACGTTCCCCTTTGAGACATGACCTCAGTCAGGGTCAGACAGTCTTCTTTCCTCCTCTGATCATCCTTGAGCTTTACTGGAGCATCTCAAATCTCATGGAAGCATGACTCGTGCATTTATAAAAGACTATTCTCAGTAAACCCACACAGAGTAGAGCAGTCTGCGCTCAGACTGAATGGAGCTTTATATTTCTTAATGCAGCAAATAAGGATTAAGGCATTAAACCAAATATAGTTCTCACGATAGCTGGAGGAACCAATTACCCTCAGCATGCGAATGTTTCCATTATAGGCATCTACATGCTAAATTTGAATAAACGTGGGAAAATCGCAACCTTGGAGGTTTTATGTGCATGTGTTGCATTTAATTATGTTTTCCAAGCACTGAATGCCAATGTTCTTCTGACTACAGACAAATTAACTTGTCTTTCATTGATATTAATATCAATAAAGCAGCATCAAATTGAGGAAAACAATGATGAAATGATGAACAAAGTCACCAAAAGTGCATGTAGCCGAGCATAAAAAATATGAAATGATTAACAATGCCACGAAGTGAAAAACCTATTGTTATACAAAGTAAGACAACTTACAACTGGAATAATGAACAAATACTTTTTGGTATTTCATCATACATTTTCAAGAGAAATTACAGGAAATAGAACATTTAAAACTATCTGTTTGATTAAATATAGAATACCTGTATCTTAAAGAGAGAGTAAAATTATTTCACATAATTTAAGCAAAAGCCAATGGCTGTCAAGTTCTTAATTACAGTGTTCTTGCCAATGACCTGCATGTATAGGATTTTCTTCTACATTATTAGCAATAAAGTGTAAACTGGCAAATATTGTAATAAGAAATCAGAATCTTATGTAAGTGCAGTCAATAAAATCCCGGTTTAATTTTACTTTTAGTGGATATTTCTTTTATAAACTCACTGTGCCACGAATGCAATCATTTTCAAATGGGAAGAGTGAGGCCCTAAACTTCCCAGTTTTCTGCTTTTGAAATATACTATAAGTAAAGAATCATTTCAAGCACTTCACTAAGCTTTAATCATTAAATTTCAGTTAAGGAATACTGTTAAATACACGTCAGTTTGGATATAATTCATTCAAACACTCATACATCACTGTTGATAATGTCCCATAGCTTACAGTTTACATTTATAGTTTTTGACAGATGACAAGAGTTTCACCAACCGTTGGCTCTTATGACTGCTGATTGGAGGAAAGCTGTTTGTCCTTTTCACAACATTCAAAGTATTATCAAAATAAAGGAACAACCTCTATTTTTCTTTCTGCAGGAGCATTATTTTCATCAGTACACACAGTCCTATGACCCCTTGTGTTTTGTATTAATACTTAACGTTATTTTAGTTCAGTTTGTAACTGAAATGGTTTCTTTATTATGTTTCTCCTATACAAACAAAACCACCACAATAAAAAATGTGTGTAAAATTGATAATACAGTTTTTATTTTATTTTATTACTTTTCAAGGTTGAAAATATAGGCTTAACTATTCAAGGTTGACCCCAATGCAGTCAAACGATGTCCATTCAAATCTTTATTTTCTATTATTTCAAACAATCAATGATTATGCACTGTTAATAGAGAGAGAATATAGAATATAGTGTGTATATTGAGAATTCTGGTAAGTAAACAGAAGGAGTACACAGCGTATATGGTGCTTTAGTTATTGCCACTGAGCAAGAGCTAAAATGTGCGCGCGTCTGTAGCTTTGTTTTATATTCACAGTAACCACCAGATGACAGCATTGCACTTCAGAGTTATGTTTGTCTCATCTAGCCTCATGTAACCTTCTGTCCTACAGCCTGCTTCCTGGAATGATGGTACAACATGCACACTCAGGGTAAAAGGATTACAGTGACTCATAACGGTAACATCAGCATACAAGTGTCAGATAGTGAAGTTAAACCCTAATTGGAAAACATCTGATCACAGACAGACCGAAATTATGACTCAAAATATAAAAGGAATTTGGGGGAAAGATTTTCAGGTAGGTCATAACTTATATTGTACAGTAGGATCAACCTTCATGTTATTAGTTTCTGGGTAAAAACTTCTTAACAGTGTGAATCATTTCATGAAGTTACATTTCCAGCAGATATACACAATCCAACCTAAATTATAACCACTTATAATCACTAAATGTAAAGAGTAAAACTGAGGATCAGTTAGCTCTAGAGTAAACAACACAGTACAAATCATTAGAATCCACAAAAAACTTCAGCAAACCAAATTATGTGTGCCATTGACTTGGGATTTATCTTTAAGATCACTGTGAATAATCAGAGGACTGAAACAGCTGGGTGGACACAGCCTGTGAAGCACAACAAACACATTTAAATTGTTCAATTCAGTGTCTGTTTTTCTTCACATGAGTCATCTGACAGACCAAGAAACTTTTGACAGGTGAAAAATATTTACTACTTACTCGTGTCTCACCTGCAGTATATGATGACTCAGAGATTGGGTATCAGTCTGAAAAGTCACAGTGTTGCGCAAGTATCATAGTATTCGAAACCCTAACAATCACTGCATTCTAGACATAACCATGAAACCTAGAGAAAGTCTTGCGTGAGAGAAATTTACATGCCTGTGCTTGTTAGGCTTACTTGTGCATGGGACTTGTGTTTTAGTGGTTTTCTAAGATCTACTACATACAAGCAGCTTCTTAAATAAAACCTGTTTGACTGGTGAGGTAACTGAATTAACTCCAACTGTAACCCTAAAGCCTCTGTACAACACTGAATGAAATCAAAAGGGAAACTTATCCTTACAGGCACCATTCAGCCAGATTAACATGTACCCAGTACAAGGCATTATCTCTTTCTGGCTGACATGAAAGCCCCGAGATTTCCTCTCATGTTGTCATAGTGAACCGGTCAGAGCAAAACTGCCATCCAAAAACTGTTCTCCCTCAGGGCACAGTGCTCCTGAAAATAAAACTCAATGTCTCAGCCTCCTGGATTACTTCTTAGATCTCCTCCTTTTTCTAGTATGTCGGAGGAGGGTGTTTATTTTAGTCAGGGATTTGAGGGAAATGTTTTGTTACTATTTATCCTCACAGAAATAGTGATTCGTAAAGACAGAATATAACTGTATGTATTTAACTATTGGCAACGAATGAAAACTGACAGCAAGACATAATGATTGTTTACAGGAAATACAAAAAATAAGTTCTGTTTTTCCGCCCCAGTGTTTATGGCACCAGCCTAGAAGAGTGTCTAAAAGGGAAGTGAGTTACAGATAAACACATTCTATTGAACAGTGAATAGATTTGTTGTAAAGTGTCGTTCACTGTTGGTAGGGAATGTGTCAATAATACATTCTGACATGACAAAAGGACCCATCAGTGTACAGTACGACACTTGACTTGTTTTAAATAAATTCATCCGGGTTAAGATTTAGCTTGTGAAGGGCGCGAGCCACTCCTGCTGCCGTTTGTTGATTTCCTGGTTTCAAAATGTGCCTCCTCCCTGGCAGAGTGGAGTTCAGTTCAACACTGCTGACCTATGGCAGACATAGCACACGCTTCTGTCAGCGCAGCGTACAGAGAACCATTTAATAGCTACTATAACTCAAGTACATGACAGCCACACACAAAATTGACAACAACATTGATTTTCGACTCAACTTCCACTTACGTTGATGCAGCTTCTCATTTTGGCACTCATTAAGCCAACAGGGTGACAATCATGCAGCTGCCTTGGTTTACTTGACATAGTGTATGTGTTGGTTTTTATAGCTTTGCTTTAATACACCATTATATAAGGCTCTCTCCTTGGTGCTTATCATGATAATATTCATGATAATATGTGCACAAACAGTGATACTTAAAGCGTAGGCACTCAAGTTATAATTCTGATCTAATATATTAATCTACAATATACTGTACTGTCTCCTTACATATTGTAGCCATGTTCGATGTGTAAGTATTAGAAATAATTATTAGAAATGTAGAATATTATGATAGTATTACGAAATGTCTTGTGGTTTTGAATCGTCCTGTGTTTTTCTGCCCACTAAGCGTCTCGTGGTGGTTACACTTCCAGGACTGTGACTAATGCTGACTCTAAAAAAAAACTAGTTTGGTTTTGGTTAAAATAATATGACATTTAATGCTATTCATTGGTTATACATTTTACATTTACAGTATTAACCCCAGATGCTATATCTGAACTCGAAAACATTACATTAGTGAAGCACTGATAAATCAATACATTGTTTTATTTCTATATCTTAAGACATTTCTCAAATGCATGTCCTTTTTCATTGAACTTAATTACTTTTAAATTGTTCTAAAATGTAGCCATAATAGATCGTTCAATTATTAGTTTACATTTTATACCGCCTTATGTTTTTTTAAATTCATCTAAATTAATGTAGTAATGTGTCAGCATTAATACCATAATGGGGTGGCCTATCTATCATTTCCCTGCCCCTACTACCAAATATAATATAACCTGGAAGTTTATTTTAAATACTTTTTCTAATTGTTTCATATACATTTAAACTACCCCTTCATAAACAATTGAAATAAAACAGAATTCTATTTTTTTTTTTTTAAAGTAGCTATTTAATTTGTCGCAAAATAACGGCAAAGGTCAAAGGCGCCCAAAAATACATGCAAATTAATAAGAAAAGAGCAGGTTTTGGGGCTTTATTTAATGATATAGGATGAAGATATAACAATGCACAGAAACTGCTGTTTGCATTAGTTTTCAAGCATGTTAGTAATGGAAATATTTTCTGAAATACTGCGCTTTTCAGTACTTGATAGTTAAAGCGACGATACCAGCAGGGGCCCCTAACCAATTTGAGTTTGAGACCCCTTATCTAGGCCTATAAAATCTAGTCTTTCCAGGAAACACTGACATCATGATACGGCCGATGCTTCGAAACTGCGTGCGCGTCCCCGCCCACCTGTAACAGAAACCGCCTAAAAAAGCTCGCTTCCCCTATTCCCTCCCCATTCAAGGTGCGACAGAAGAACAGGTGCGCCAAGACTCGCAGAGACACGTTATAAATTGCAGAGACGCTTTATACACTGTACTATCACCGTTGTCTGCTAACTTATTTTCAGAAAACTAAGGAATACGCAAATAAATAAGACTTTTCCAGCAACAAAGCAAACTTAGTTAAAACTCGGTCAGATTTTGAAGGAGTGACTGGGGGATTTGTACCTTCACAGCAGGTGGACGTCGTCTTTTGTTGTTTCGCCTTCGAGTCGTTGAGGAGGAGGAGGAAGAAGAAGAAGAAGAAGAAGCAGAAATGGCCAACTCGGGTCTGCAGATTTTAGGATTCGCCCTGGCTCTTTTGGGCTTAATTGGACTGATAATTGGCACCATTTTGCCGCAGTGGAAGATGTCCGCTTATGTCGGGGACAACATCATCACAGCGGTGGCCATGTACGAAGGGCTCTGGATGTCCTGTGCGTTTCAGAGCACAGGCCAAATCCAGTGCAAAGTCTACGACTCCATCCTGCAGCTCAACAGTGAGTAAAGCCGTTACTGCATCCGGAGTGTGTGTCGTCGAAGTTAGTGTCAGACGTTTAAGAGTTTATTTAAAAAGCTTATGTGTTTATCTGTTAGCTTAAAAAGACCTTGAAAACCTGAGTAGCTTACTTTTTCCTGTAACTCTTGTAAGTCTTAACGTCTATAGAAATGTGTTTTATCATTCTTTATCTTATTTTGCTGCTTAATTTCTCTAGAATATACCTGTGGTTACCGTGTAGCAGGAAATGATGTAACAGACAGGCACCTGTTGGAGTGTAGAAGCTAGCAACTTTTCTTTCTTTCGGCCATTTTTTAAAATCCTGAGCCGTCCTTTACAGCTCCTTTGAAGAACTCCTGTGTCTTGGGCTAACTGGTTTTGTCACTTATTAACTCCCTCCTTTATTCCCCCAGAATGCAGTTATTTGGTTTAAACCACGCTATGAGGCCTCACCTGCACTGTGAGACAGAGCAACTCCATGGCTCAGTGCCAGATCATTTATATATAAAAAAAACCCTACTTTCTTTCCACTTTATAGGAGGGAGTGTTTGTGTGCATCACTTCTTTAAACGTAGGCAATGATTATCCAATAGCCATTGTCCAGCTACCCCCCCTCCACACCCCCTCCCCCTCCCGCATGCATGGAAAAGCCCGAAGTGTAGGACTTACATTACACAGCCTAGGTAGTTAAAGGTTAAACAACACCTGTATGAGCCACTGTTTAGTCAACAGTCAGAAACACCAACCCCACAAACAGTTGCTTTGTCTTCGGCCTACAGGGGATCGAATGAACAGAGAACCAGTATTTGCTATGTTTTGGGCCCTAAAATGTTGACTCTTTCACACAATGTATGGAAAAACAAAGTTTAAATGCAGCATTTAGTTTCACTTTAAAAAAAAAAAAACACACACATTTGCATAATCAACAGGTTCAACAATTTCAGATAGGCCACACTTGCAGATATAGTATGCCCCATTATGAGTGGTTCAGGGAAATATAATGAAATGAAGTGGTGGTTTATTGGTTATCCTGTGGGCTGTAGCAAAAAAAGAACCACTAATGCTAAATTAAGAAGTTGAGCAATTGTTAAATTTCCCTTTAAAGTTTGGTCACAAGTCCATACCGTATCTCTTTATGACTTTCTTATCTTAAAGCTAAATGGGTTAATAGTAGCATGTCAGTTCGATTGTTAATTGTACATGTTTCAATACCAACTGATTTGCCCCTGGGTATTAACTGCCAGAATGGCACAGAGAAATGTTTTGTACATAGGTCCCTCCCTGTTTTTATCTTGACACATCATATTCACTCAAATGCATTTACAGCTGTATGCTGCGTGTTGACTTGTGGCTTAAAAGTTCACAAACTGGCCATTTCCTTCAGGTACCTTTTTTTTATGTGTTGGTTTTTTATTTTTGCTTAATTTTTTTTTCTATCGGCTTATCAAAACATTTGATAAAATATCTGTAGCACAGTGTGTCTTATCGCCTCTACAAACATGAACACAAACCAACTTCGATAAACATTGTGTGATTAAAGCTGTGGTTAGATATGGAGCAAGTGAACAAATAATGGCTCCGTATTCACAAATACTTTCTCAAAATCTACCAACACATACCTGAAGTTTACGAACAATTGATACCAAAACTAGGAAAAGTGTGACAAGATTCGGACTCCTAAATTAAAGCCACTTTGGGCATTCTTCACATTTTAAAGAGGGCTTGTGTCCCCTTAGATATGAAATGTCCACCTGCTGAAAGGCAGGCTGTGAGTTCCTGAAATTGGGAGTGCCTTCCTTTATAATGAAACCTGAAACCTGGTTAGACCTGTTTCTGACTTGCATAGCAGACAAACCCACACACCCACTCCCCCACCCCCCTTTAGAATTTCTTCGGGCTTCCGGTTAGAGCCAGTTTCTGTGGTGCGTTGTTATAGGGAGCGGCAGTGAGACACCAGAGACAGAAGCCACTGTGTTGTACATGAGCAGTGCTTGTTTTTAATGCTGCCTTTTCCCAAATGGTGGCTTCTAGATGCATACAAATGTTTTTTTAATAGTAGTGTTATCACCACAAATCACTGCACAATTTCATTTCAAATGCCAATAACTTTGTTGTATGTTTCAATCCCGTCTAAAGCCTGTCAAATCTTTCCATACCTTTTCTCCCCATGTGCCTGTTTAATAAGTGTTGTCACATTAACTGATGGATTAACCCTATCCTGTTTTTTTTTTTATCCAGGTGCCCTCCAGGCAACTCGTGCCCTTATGATTGTTAGCATCATTGTGACTGTGGCTGGCCTGGGTGTAGCCTGCATGGGAATGAAGTGCACCAACTGTGGAGGAGATGACAAAACGCGCAAGTCCCGCATTGCCATGACTGGAGGCATTATCATCCTGATTGGATGTAAGAAGCCATTTGAATTAATTATTAACTTATTTTTTTATTAATTTTGTTTGTGTGTTTCTTCTCTGTGGACTCTAAGCAGTTTCAGTAATGTTTTTGTTTGCTTTCCCACAGCTTTGTGTTCCATTGTTGCCTGCTCTTGGTATGCTCACGACATCATCCAAGCCTTCTACAACCCTTTCACCCCCGTCAATACCAAGTAAGTACATGAGAATTTAAGCTGAAAATGTTATGCACCATATTTTCCACATTGTGCCTGAGCTACTTCCCTTTTTCTTTAATTAAATAAAATGTGCATTGCCAATAGAAAAGGTGCCACCCAACAATAAGTTGAACATTTTCTTTAGCAGAGTATAATGCCTCCAAACATGTCGGAGGCGCTGGTTTATTTTAGATACCGGCTTCTGACCTCCTCCACCTTCTATCCAAACATTTGCATGAGTTCAGCCACTCTTCTAGTGCTGATGAATGTATTATGCACATTTTAGTTTTATGTAAGCTTACGCTCTGCTGCCATCTGTTAACCCTCCTGACTCACTGTGACTTCTCTTTCTAAAGGTATGAGTTTGGTTCTGCCATCTTCATTGCCTGGGCTGGAGCGTTCCTGGCTGTTGTGGGAGGTGCCATGTTGGCAGCATCCTGCCCAAGAGGGAAATCTACACCGAAGTATCCCATCTCCAGACCCCCCAGCAGCAAGGAATACGTTTGAATAGGAATATCATTACCTGTTTTTATTTTATTTTATTTTATATTTTAGATTCTTCAGGGCTACCCTGTCATGTTACTGTATATTTTAACAAATTGATTCAATTTTTAAATAATGGCTGTTTACTTCATAAAGAGCTTATTTGCCCTTGCCCTGTCTGGAGCTACAGTCAGTGCTTACTGATTTGTATACTACATAGTATACTGTCCACTTAGTTGACACCTGTGAAGCACTAAGTTTAAAATTAAGGTGAAACACCCATAATAACATACAACTTGGTATGTAGAAGATTGTTCACATGCTGAATGCGACAATGTACACACAATAAATTGTGCAGTGTGTTTGGGGAAACTGTTTGAAGGAACTGAATCTACATCAGGTATGGAAATAGACAACTTCCACCATTTGTTACTGTGTTGGCTGAATCCATAGAGGTTAAACATCTGGCACCTGAGAAGCAATTTGCTACCATTATTTCCATGTATATGTGCCTTATTTATATGAACACAGCAAATCATTCAGTACCATTGTAGACTATTTTTGTTTTTAATCAAGTGCCAGAGTGAAATTGTAACAGTAAATTACAGTGAACTAAATCCATGCAGTCCGATTACCAATGTTTTTGCTGACATACATACAGCAACAGATGTTGTGAGCGATGTATTTGTTGACTTGTTCTGTAATTACAGTTTGTGTGAATGGGCTTGGCTTATCTCGCAGGCTTTTTAGTCTCAATAGCTGTTGCTGCACTCATAAAATTTTCAGTTTTTTAAGAACATTTTAAATTGTGATTTTGAAAAGTTTGTTGTACATAAATAAAAGTGGAAAATGTACTTGTTTTTGGCTTCTGTAAATGCCTTTATTCTAAATAATAAATAAACTTGCATAAAAGGGCATGCAGCTCCAAGTGCTTTACTAGTTAAAAAACATGACCACTTAAACAGCTTAAATACATTTAAAAGGAGTGGTAAGTAACAAACGGTTAAAATTAGCTTAAATTAAATGGAAAAAACACAGGTGCTATGCCTCATACACAATTATAAAGTACACATAGGATTGTTCTGCATCCTGTGAAACACTGGCATGTCCAGGCATTTATGAACACATTCCCCTCAAACATGCAGTAAAGCTGGCATTTAAACGTTGGTGATCAAACATGAAGGACTGAGCTTGTAGATGATTTTCCTACTGAGGCTGGAACCTAAAATCATCAGGGTCTTTACTCACTTCACTCTGGCTGGGAGCCATCTTCCTTTGGGTTGATAGGCACACAGAATCATAATGGCTAACAATATGAATCTGCTTTGGTTTTACTGCCACCTTGTGGTGTGTATGGGTACCTACTTTGAGTTGGGGTTGAGGTATTTACTGGATGGATGAATTTACTGTATATTATATTTTGAAGTATCATTAAAAGTATTATTGTATATCCCAGCATCTTTCCGGACCCATTTTAAGTTACACAATGTGGGAAAAGTAACACCGGACATTTCACTACACTGCAGAGCAAATTCACCTCATTCCTCCTGTCTTTTTATAGTGTCTCATCTCCTTACTTTGTCATTTTACGCCTTCAAGTTAAGATTCTTGTGATTTATCAGACCCAGCAATGTCTTGCTCTAGTTCATCTTTTCCTCTTTTCCCATTCTCTAATCATTATTCTTTCCTCCCCTCAGGTCAGATCCGAAAAGTAAAAATAATAACAATTTTACTCCTACGTGGCCAAACCGTCTGACCCCAGTCTGCCTCCATCCTATAAACTCACACAATGCAACCAAACCAGGGAACTCCTTTCTTCCATTACCATAAGATTTTATATCTATGCTTTGGTGTACTTTGAGAAAATTGATAATCCTGATAATAACTGGGTTTCATACTCAATGTATTAATCAAATGGACACTTGCTAATTTGTTTAATTTTTTGCAGATTTTAGGACTCCTTCGCTCCTCTTCTCTGCTGGAATTTAAAGATTTTTATTGGTTTAAATTCAGACCACTACTGGCTCTTCTAATCTAAAGGGCAGGATGGTAGGGCTTTTCATCCCAGTAAATCCAGGCCATCACCTCATACATTCCTGTGCTACTGAATCACTGAATGATGATGATGAATTACCACTGTCCATCCCCGTTTTCATCACCCTGACAGTAAATGATGCACTACTCGATTTTAAGTGGTCATTTATTGGACCGTTAAAAGATTAAATGAGCAGAAAGGTCTTGAAGTGGCGTTACCATTGCTGTGAACCCACTACTCAAACTGTCTTCACATAAACAAACATGCACACATGCTGGTTCTTGAATGATTTGAGTCCTGTGCCTTTAAAGCTGCACAGGAGTGTAATATAGCGTAATATACACCCTTTGCCCACTAGCCTAAATCATAAAGCTTAGCTGCAATGGATAAATGAGCCTCAGAATCTAATTTGGACTTATTTTAACTTGAAATTAAATATGATTCTCCAGGCACACAAAAAAAAAAGAATCAAAACTTCAGAGCAGACTCTGAGGGGAAGAGGGAAGTTGTCTGCTTTCCCCTTGACTGTTAAAGTATCTTCATCTACTTTTGAATCAATCAGTTTTTCCCATGTGAACACAACAATTTTGCAGATGATTGCTGATCAGGAAATTGGCACAAAGAACACAGAATATAAAGAAAAAAGGTAAGTGCAATTTGGGCCCATGGTTGTATAATTATACTGCAAACAAAAACATTTTGGCTACAGGATTTTATGAGTTTGATATCAACTATTTCTAAATATATGTCGATATATCAACAAATGCAGTATTATAGCGTATGAAAGAGCCCTCCTTTCAGCTTTTGAGCATACGTTTTACGAATGAAGTATACAGGAACAAGAAACGTCTCTTTATTTTTCATTTTTTATTAATGGATTTAAGCAAGCCAGTCATGACATCACTTGAGGAAGTCCCCCACAGAAGGCTTCATACAATTTACAGTTGTGTTCCCAAAGACCAGTTCCCTTACTGAGCTCCTACTAACCCACTCTGCATCCACAGCTCCTCTTTAGGTGTGCAACCTGCAACCATAAACCTGAATGGATAACAATAAATCATCCATGCTTTACATAACTTTGCATGTTATTACTTATAATTGCAAGATGACAAATTTAACCCATGGCCACTGCAGCAAGGACCATCTATACCAGGTGAGCTACCAGGGCACCCCAAAATACATATTTTGAGGTGTGGCTAATTTCCTCAGTGGTTTGTGGAATCTCAGGATGTAATGTTCTAAATAATCAACTGCTGCAGCATTCTGCCTAAACACAGTAACGTCATTCAGAACAAATGTTCTAATACACAGGAAAGAGCTGTGTACAGTTCCTAACTAATGCAAAATTCTTAAATCTTATATTCTACACTGGACTTTAAAAGAAACAACAATTCTGTGTTTGAAGTTTTAATAGCAGATTGTTGCACATATAAAAATCAAACTTTGGAAAATTATCATTTTATCAATTTATCATCAAAATGGCCAAACTGATTTAGTTCTCATTGCAGAGAAATAGAACAATGACAACATTTCTACGTTAGTTTATTTAATCAATCTTGGGACAGTCCATCCAAACCCACAGCATATTCAAAGTCATACAAACTTACAATGGTTTCACAACATGGAATGATCTTCTGCTAGAACAGGCCTCATGCATTAACATTTTTAATATTACTTTGACTGGTCAAATGAACACAGAATGTGTGACTTCATTAAGCTTGAGTACAGGTGGGAATTTCTTAAAACATTAGAACATCTGCAAACCCAAGTTTGAAGAGTTACAAGCAACTCATAATTGAAAAACAAAAACAAAAAAAAAAACCCAATTCCTTCATGCATTCAGTCACTCACAGAGTTAGTACCTAACCATTGGGCTTTTTGCTCTTAGTAGTCGAGGCAATACATGTGACAAGTGAAGCAGACCAATCTCCACTAGAACTGAAATGTGTCGGGTGTTAATTAAGGTTGATGCAGCTTCTTGCTTAATGGTTGATTTGCGGACGGTAAAATACATGAAACATTACAAGAATATTTCTATTTCTTATACAATGTTTCAAACTGAAAACAGGAAAGTGGACAGTGTGTAGTCACGGGCTGTTTACCTTACTAAATCTCACAATAGCATAAACATTCAAAACGCTTCAAAAAGTGCAAAGTTTTATGTTCATGATGGTACGAGACAAATCAACTTTATACCAATATCAGTATTGTGATCATTACTGCTGATGTCCACCTGACTTGGCCAACATTAGCCTTACTGGCCTTAAAATGGATTTTAATTTAAAGTTTCTTCAGCTGCTTTGTTACTAATCTTGTATGTGCTTCTAAGTGTGTTTAATAATCTGATGTATTTTCTTGTGTTGCTGGAGGAGGCCAAACCAACCTTTACTGTATATATATATAAAAAAAAAAACACATATCCTGCGAACTCCCGGTGCCAACCACCTAGCAAGAATTTTATTTACACATTTACAAAGATGTAAATTTGTAGGCTGGTTCTCCCAGGGTTTATTGAACAAACCAAATAATTTCCCTGCCCTAATGAGAAGGTGTTGGAAGAGGAAAGACAATGAAACACCCCAGTGCACTGTCAATGTCCACATCATCTCTTTAGTCTCTTCATACAAGAGGGCAGGTGGAGCTGGACTAGACTCAGGATTAATGGGGTGTGAATGAAGTGGGAGGCACAGAGTTTGGCTTCAGAGGGTTTGAGAGGTGCTATGGGTATAAACAAGTCATAAAAAGAGACAATAAAACTACTGAGACTGCGTTATTAAGCATCCTTCACTGTCTGTCTCCACTTCCACAGATCTGCGATAACCTGAAGAAAAAACAAAAACACCTGTTAACATGGAGGACCAAGTAGCACATTTAAAATGTCTCAGACAAAAATCAAGACCAAAGCATTTTTCAAATTCTATTCTCATCTGCTTCTGCACATAAAGAGAATTCAGTGCATTTACTTTAACATTACTTCCACTGTGTGAGATTTCAAAGTTTGGGACTTTGGTGCCCCCTAGTGGCAAGACAAAACCCAAAATTCAACTAGGACCTTCTCTCTTTTTTCCCCTTTTACAAATAACTGAATTTGAAAGATGCAAATTGAATTACTTTTCTGTGAAAGACTTAATAAAAAAATGTCAATTAAAACAAGCTCTAATACTTTTAACCTTTTAAAACTCAATACTAAGATTCATTATTCATATGAGACCACAGGTGATTTGTCTTAGCTTGTACAGTAAACTAGTATAATTTAGGACACATTACAGCTTTTAAAAAAGGAGATGTCAGAAAAAGTTAGCCATGACCCGAGTTTCAATTAGATTGGAGTCTGAAAATGTCAAAGTAAATTCAGACAGATGTCAGCTCAGGAATAAGAAGCATCAGCAACACCAAATTTGTTTTCATACGTCTTCCCTAAATGTACAAAATTTTATAGGCAATTCATTTATAAAGTATAGTTTTGTGATTCATTTTCCGAGGCAATTTAGGACTACAGGTGTTTAATAATTATTGGCAGGCATTGTGAACTTGTACTGTACCTTGGCATCTGAGACTTTATAACCATGCTTCAAAAAGTTCTCAAACTTGGGCTGGAGTTTAGGTAATGATACTCCCTGTAAAAGAGAAAGAATTGCAAAAAATGAGCAAGTTAGTCAAGCCATGTATTATATTTTCAACTGGGGGAAAAGGATCGCAATAAATCAAAAAGGACACCAACCTTCTTCATTGACTCCATCATCTTGGCTTTAATCTCAGGAGGTGACAAGTTTACTTTGGGAGTTGCCGGGGCTTTAGGGGACTTGTCACCCTTACCTTTAGGGGTCTTTTCCTATAAAGAACATAAGTTGAGATATTAGGAAAATTAGACAATTTTCTTATTAACTGGAGAAAGTAATGTGAACAATGAATCTTTATAATTTCTGTAAATATTTATAATCAGACTGACAGTGCATGTAAACTAATGGTTACCTGTTTTTTGGCTGGAGTGCTGAGTTTAGAACTCTTGCCATTCTGAGCAGGAGCTTGTTTGGAGGGTGTCGCCTTGGCCTGTAACAAATAAGGAGCTATTGGTGAGAAACGGTGCAAGTTGCAAGAACTGCCAAAACTGTATGAAATAGGTGCTTGCCTTAACAGGAGACTCTTCTTCGCTCTCCTCTTCCTCCTCATCATCATCATCCTCATCCCTAAAAAAAAAAAAAAAAAAATCATGGTTAAAAATATAAAAACAAAACAATCAGATAGAAAGTGATCCATCAAAATCCAATGACAAGGAAATGCTTTGGTCTTTAACTAGCACACATTATGCCAAGATGCTCTTTACACCTAATGTGAATGGTTTTGGTATTTTACTAAAAACTAAAGAAACAATTAAAAAAGTGTTAAACTTTCTGTGAATTACGTAATATGTAATATTTTAGATATATTATTTGATTTAAAATGTGCATTAGTTTGATACACATTGAACAGAGCAGTTTGAGTGTTGACGCTATGGACCCCACTCTGTCCAAGAGTCTGCCTGTCTGAATGTGTGCAAAGCTTGACACTCACTCGTCGTCATCATCATCATCATCTTCATCATCATCATCCTCGTCCTCCTCCATGTCCATTTTCATTTTTTTCTGTAAGAACGTAAAAAAAACAGAAAGGTTATGGTTAATTGAATTTTTGACAGATTAGAAACAAAGACAGTAAAGGATGTAAAAACAAACCTGAGACTTGATGGCAGGAGAGGAAGCAGGTCTTTTCTTCGATGTTCTGACATCTTCCTCCTCCTCTTCGTCATCGTCGTCATCATCTTCATCGAAAGACTGATCGGCCTCCATCACTTTAAAAACAAGTTAGAAGTGTTAGACTGGGTTTAAACCACCACTATTTAAACTTCAATGCATAAACCCGAGCAATCCACACAATCACTGAACACTTTCCCCTCCCAGACTAGTTAAAACATCCGTTTAATCTTGTCACAAATACTCACTGACAAGGTGTTGTCCACTGATATGGATTGGACCGGAACCTGCTTTCAGACGGAAAACTGCTGGGGGTGTGATTGTGAAACCACCGAGACACACCTGCAACAAACATACCTAACTGCATTAGCATCCACGTTGAACAGTGTTGAAAGGTGCAGTCTGCAGTAACTGGGTGCTCTTAGGGTTTGGAGTTCAATAACCATAAGATGGTTGTTAACTAGCAGCATTTAAAATAATGAAAAGTATCCATTTCCGACAATGTTGTTGACAAGTTGCATTATTCACCCAGTAATGCCTTCGACTCGTGTGGGTGGCTAAAGAGTACTGAGAAGTGTACATAAGCAAAGACAAGAAGTAGTTTACTTACACTTGGCAGGGTAGAGGGTTTCAGTGAGACCAGTGCTGCCTTGATTTTCTGTCCCTCTGTGTCTTGTCCTTCCACCTCCACCATGTGAAGTTCATCTTTCGTGCTGGGGTCCACACAGGCCTGGAGAAGGCAAGGAAACAGTGGACTGTAATTCTATGTTAAGCTTTAGCTCTGGCGCTCTGTTCAAACAATCTCTGGTGTGTTCAAATCACGCAATGCTTTAATCCATCTGCTGATTAACTGTCAAGAACGCCATCTGTGTAAGAGCTGTGAATATATGGGATATCATCTGCTAACCATGGTGGCATATACTGTGCATCGCTTTCTTGATGCGTCAGAAACTGGAGGTGTGTTACGCTGGTGTCCTATTCCGTGTAACTGAGCACTTCAAAAAGTAAGTGAAACAAACCCTCCAGGCTATTACAGTAAGAGATGCTTCTTTTTTTTTTGACACCATTTATGGCGTATAGGTTACTACCAACACTGATGATCATTTCTTTTACACAAGAAAACATGAATAAGCACAGTCTCATATCATATGAGACTATATCATTGAGCCTCTTCCATACAAACAGATGCATGTTAAGAGTGCGTTCAGAGAGCTACTGTAGATGACAGCCTGTGTCTGCTCTCACTGGCTGCAGCTCGTTACGTGACTCCCCCAACCCGACTAAATATTCAGCCTGCTTGATATCGTTGGGGCGCCTGCGAGGCATTGTATCTTTGAACAGTTCTCACACAACGTGACAAGAACGAACACCAATCTGCCTCTGATCTGGGGGCTTTTGTCTGCCATCTCCAAAAACTGTGCCGCACGACTTGCTAACTGAAATTTGATTTAGAAACTGGCTGATTCAACAAAGTGAGAGGGAGGAACATTTGAAAGAAGCAAAAGGGACAGGCATTATGTACATCCTATTCAGTGAGAAATGTGTGCACGTTTGTACCCTGAAACTACAGAGGGGAACAAAGTTAAACATCAAAACGTGTTGTTTGGGGGGGCCTTTTGTGTTTCAAGCTCATGTATGTATTTGTTGCATATACAGTAATCATTTTGCCAAAGAAAATGTGTGTAACTTAAACACCAAGCATGAGATGGTGCCAAAAAAATATATTAAAAAAAATTTAGCCACCTTAGAAAATAGCATTCTGTTTCATAACTAAATCATGCAGCTACAATTCAGTTTAAATTACAAATTAAAGTTTGCCACATTGTGTCTGCTTCATATTCTGTTTCTTGTGCTGCATACACGCAGAAGGGATCTTATACTCCAAATGTTCAGTGGAGGACCATGATTTCACTTGATACTATCCTTACAGTGGTGGAAAAATATAAATAGCAAAAATGGTGGTCAGCAGAGAAAAATGAAACATCCAAAGTTGTAATAAATAAGATGCGTTATATTTCCCCTTTGAACACCTGAGATCACAGGGCACTTACCATCCTTAGATCTAGCTGATGCTCAAATTCATCGTCCTCAGGGTTGAAAACCACCTCCTTTCCGGCTTCCAGCACGCACCCTGATGAAAATATTTAAAATTAGCCAACAACTTATTTAAAACTATTTTAGAGCTGAGGCATATAAATAGTTAACATTTGAATCTGACAGACAGGAAATCATTTGGATATAAAGTGCTGTACTTCAAGAGAACACAAGAGGGAGCCACACAGACTACTGATGTGAATATTTCCACATGGCCCGTTTCCACATGGCCTGGAGTCACCTCAAATAGGAGATAACTATACTATAATTTCACTGAAACCTATATAGTGCAAATTCGATTACATTGTACTTCTAAAGTTAAGAATAAAGCTCTTCAATACATTTTGGTAAAACAAAGTACTTTGGTGTATATAGTGGTTTCACACTACTACAGATTGCTCATCCCTTGTCTGGAAACCAATTCACAAGTTGATACATCATTTACATTTATAACTACTGGGACATAAAGCTTTTCACATTTCAAAAGTGTGTTAAAAAAATAAATAAAAATAGCTTTACTTATTTCCCTACAGTCAGAATCATCTCGGATTTGTGACTCACATTATTTCCAACCTCAGTGAGCAGCATGTGAGTGTGATCCTGCGTTTCCTGTTTGCACTACACAAATCTAATTCTTATCCATCTATAGTTTCGACTGGGTGATGGGAAATGTATGTCGATATAGTGCGACCTGTAGTTCATGCAGTCACAGTGACATTATGGGGCTATAAAGGTCAGAAACGCACTCCGAGGTGTGTTTGCCGTGTTGGAGTCAAACGAGGTGAGGGAGTCTCCGCGTGTGGTTCAACCCACGTTGAGACGGCTTTCACTAGCCACCTGAAAACAGCCAGGTCTAACTCTATCATAAAGTCTGCAGTTACACTACACAGAATGTTAATTCAAATGTGAAACAATGTCAACCTGTCGTAAAAAGAAAATGCTTCAATATTAACATTGTTCACAAAACATGGGCGCCGCCATGTTGAGAGTCAAACACGTGTATGGTCTGAAGACGCACTCTTCACCAGGACTCACTCAACCTCCTGCTATTGCTTTAAAAATGGTTAATAACGCCAGATATTGCACTTTAAACGATTCAATATGATAGTATGAACGTTACCTTCCATTATAGAGGAACAAATGCTGCCAAACGGCTAAATTTAGTCGTTTTCTTGTCTCAATTTCAGCAGACAAACACGAGGACGCGTAATGTTATACATCTAGAAGTGACATACGACATGCAGAAGTTATCTCACCGTAAAGAAAGGTCTGTGGTGCCATTGGTTCTTCGTCTAAGCCGTTCATTTTGGAGATTAAAACGCTGACAACCTGCTGCTTGTCTGCGGTAGAAGAATAACCAACTCCTCCCGGGAAGCACTAACTAACGCGGGACTCCGCCTCCTCGCCTCGCTTCTTCTTCTCGGTGCCATGCTGAAGAGAACAAGACACGTAGACAGGAAACAGCGCCACCCACTGTACCACAAAGGGTAGCGCACACAGCACAGCTATTGTTATTTAGATTCAGTAGTTTTTGCTTGCTGGTGATTTAAGAATGGCAGTTTTCCATGAGATGTTCAACAAAGCCCGGAAATATTCTGGTGTGCAAATAATCCAAAATCGGAATGGTTGTTTAATTCTGATGTGTTTATGTTTTCTGACTATTTAGGTGTGTACTCTGATTTCTCCTGTATCAGTTTAGCAAAGGTTTTTGTCAGTGATATATTTTGTTGTGGACAATTGGTTGTCTTTATTTTTATGCCTCTGTGCTATTTTATTTTATTTTTTCAAAGTACAGTATAATTAGCCCTACATATATATTCTGGTGGTGTTTTGTAAGCACACATATTCGGGGCATGGTTTTATGAATGTAATGGAAAGTAACATCATAAATAAAAATGTAATGTCTATTCCAGAAAACTACAAAGTGTAGCTTTTTTTTTTAGAATAATAAAAACACACAATATGTAGCAATAACAGACAGTTTCAATACTTATTGTAAAACTTGTAATTTATTCTCAGACAAACATATTTTTACATATTTTGTTAGTGGGACCAGAAGGAGTTGTATTTCTGAAGATGACTGTGTTAAAATAATTACAACTGGAAAAATGTTCCACATGATAGAATGTTTTTCCAATTGTAATTGGTTTATACAACTTGGACCTCCGTAGGGTAAATTCACATGGGGTGTTATTGTGCTCTGCATGTTTTCACTGTTTTCTGTTTGAATAGCTGACATATGGATGAGAAATATAAGGAAAAAACTTAGTAAGGTATTGGGCCACTATGAGCCAAATGGCTTGAATTCTGGGGATTGTGAAAGCCACAGCATGGGATTCACATAATTTCCATACACATCAAACCATTCAGTGGCTCCGTATGCCCTGTATGGATGCATCTCCATTTGTTGTGTTCTGTCTACTCATTGATTTAGGTTTCTTCCTTGATTTATGGTTAAATTATATAACTTTTCAGTGCATACACAGAATAAATGCACACAGCCATAGACACACACATGCACACACACATTTGCATACAAGAGAGAACAGCTATAAAGTAAGACACCACTCAATTTAAGAATTTACATATTTATTCTTATGGCTTAAAATTAATATTCTGTCTGTGAGATTTAACGACTCTGTTCCAAACCAAGATATCAGAGACCAGAGGCTGTATTGTCACACTGATGTACCATACAGCAAAGAGCTGCTCCACTGACAGCAAAAAGAACAGTAATGAATATTTTAGTGCATAAACTACTATGTCCTTGTGAGTTTTCTATTATAGCGATGCCTCCCCAGACACCCTGACTCACAGACAACCATCTGCAGGAGTCATCCTTTTCTGTCTGTACCTGTAATGTACACCGGTGTGACATCACAGGCCTGGTTTGGATGGAGGAGGCAGTGCCAAATGTTAACTAATACAGATGGAGCTGCCCTCAGTGTCATCAAAATATCACATTCCAAAAGCTGACATTCTATGGTATTTCCCTGCATGATTATCTGAGGCTTTCTCATACCAGGATTTCATCAGACGGACCAATCTTCCTACCATCTTTCTTGTATATTACATAGCAATGAGCGAGATCAATAGCGCATTACAATACAAATAATTTACTGTTAACATTGTCTTCATCTCCGACCCTGATCACCCGTCACCTGTGCAAATAAAGATATTGGTTTGATGAACTCAAGCCTCTCATTATTATTCAACAAATATGTTTTGCGGGCACCTCATCATGAAATCCAAAATGTATGCACATTTTTCACTATATTTTTTTTTCTTTTTACATTTTTGACAACACACCGATTTGACCACAAGAAGCTAAGCAGCAGGTGAAAATATAAAGGAATTAATTGATGTCTTCTTCCTTTTTCACTAAGTTCCAACATATACAGAAAGACACACACATACCATATAAGACCCAGGAAACGTACTGCTTCCAAAATGTTTGGCCTTCTACTGGAAGCTTTAGACAGACTCTTAACAATATATGCATCAGACAGACTTAGCAGGCAAGCGACAGCCAGGTCGACACAGGAGTACAAGGGTCACTGCAACAGTGAAACCAGCACATGGCATTTCAAAAATGTCACATCTGTCAGACACTAGATGCATGAGATAAATATAGAAGTCCTTATGGCCAAATTCCCATAACAGCTATGACAAATGTTTGGAGATGAATCAGAACCTCTTGCAAAAGCATGCATTTATTTTGGCAAAAAATAAAGTTCAGCTGGTTGAGCAATAGCTTTTTGCTGGTCGGGAGCAGCCTTGTAATGTTGGAGCATCTTTATCTTTAACAGAACTGAGAGCAATGTCTTTATATGTCCAAGTCTGTCACATTAGTGACTTTGTATTGTGTGGAAAAAAACTCAGCAGGAAAGGTAAAAGCATTCCAGTCCAATCCCTTCATTCAAGTCATTGTGGGGCATTCTGGCTGTATCCAGACCACAGTTTGATGAAACGGGAAGAGAAGGAGAGACCAGACGTATTGCACATATGCATCCACACACACGCACTCACACCAAGCCCTCTTATTTTCTATGTCTTTGTCTTCATCATCTCCTCTGGTCCTACATCACGTTTTCGAACAGCTGCATGGATCTCATCATGGTTTCGTCCTGCCGAGAGAGAAGACAGTCAATCAGGGCAGAAGGATGCAATTAGCTGGTAATGTACTATACCCCTGCATATAGTATAGATAACCTTGCAGTATAAGCTACATGAAGACAACAGCTTCGAAATATAACATAATTTTTCACTTCAAAGAAACATCAGTTCCAGCTGTTTCAGAAGGACATGTCGAAGTTTGGACACTTTAAGTCTATATTATTTGTGATGTTTAAGTCTATTTTCTCTGCATCTGTATGGCCTCAGTTGGACTTAAATATAATTTGTGTATTTATGTGTACTGTTTGAGCAGGCCAAACATAATCTATGTATATCTACATACACTGTTTGCATCCTCATAGCTCAAAGGTGCACTTACTAGCTTTTGGAACCTTAAACTGCTTCTCATGGTCTTCATTGTGGTTGACAGCTCAAAAAAACTCATAAGTGCCTTTCTTTAAGTTTAGATTGAATTTTTCATATTATTCCATACATATAAAACAATGTACAGGAACATATTTAAGTAACTGTACTTTAGATAAATTCATGCTTACATATTCTTCCCACTTCAGCCACATATGGTAAAAATGTTATATATATTTTCATATTATTACACATAGAATTGGACAACTCAGATGTAGGACAACACATACCTCCTGGCAGGCTATGATAAACTCCTCTAAAGTCACCACTCCATCTTTGTTTTTGTCCATTTTCTGTGGAAAAAACATTGCAATATAATGTAATTCAGTATGACATAAAAGCACATTTTGAATAGTTATGTTGTTTTAGAAATGCATGTGTAGGAAACTGTTCTATCCACTATTACTATGGAACACAGTATGGAGAATAACAGTTTTTAAAAAAGGTGAAAAATTACTGCTAATGATATAAACTTTATAAGCCTCAATAAGTCTCAATAAAACCATAGGGGTTAATTTGGGAAGCTACTGGGGTATAATGAGAGGCATTAGGAGTCAGATTGTTTTTCCTCACGCTATGTAAACACAATGGGTTTAAAATCACCTCTCACTGTTAACAAAAAGGTTATATTCTTATTAATCTTATATATTATGAACCTGAAAAAAGGCATCCACATGCTGCTGGGGGACGTCTCCCTTTAGTGCAGGGTAGGTGTACTTTCCCATCATGTCATAAATGGCCCTCACAATCTCAGTCATTTCCTGAAACAAGAAAAGATTGACACTGTGGTGAGACATTGACCTTAGATGGCTAACAGAACACTGTATACACTGTGAGAGCAGAGTCTCACCTCTCTGTTTATGTAGCCATCTTTGTTAATGTCATAAAGGTGAAACGTCCACTCAAGCTTTTCTCTCAGTGTTCCTCGCAGCAGTATGGACAACCCTGTTACAAAGTCCTGGCAGCAATGGAACAGAAGACAAACTCAGATGGTTGTAAAGAAATGAAACATATTTGACATAAAATGCAATTGCAAAGGAGGATTATACCTTAAACTTAATGGAGCCATTGTTTGTAGTGTCAAATGCATTGAAAAGATAATGTGCATACATGCTTGCATCTGTAACACACACAAAAAAATAATGTGTAAGGTTTCCTGTTTTCAAAATGCTACACAGAGCAAAGAAATAGATGAAAACATTGCACTTTACCTCCATGAGGGAAGAACTGTGCGTAAATGTGTTTAAATGTCTCCTCATTTACCACACCACTTGGACATTCCTGTTGGGGGGAAAAATGATGAATTAAGGTCACTCTACTTGATAACATTAATGGGATCCCCCCCCCCATTTTTTGTGAGAATTCACCAGAACTGTGCAGTCTGAGTCATGTTACTGAAATCATCCCTAGAGTTTCTGGCAGAAACTTACCAGTGTTAATGCCAAACTAACATTTGTTTTATTTTACATTATTTCATTGTAACACAACTCACACTTTATCTCATAATCTTAGAACTACTCTTTACCGCTGGCAGAAAATGAATAGTTCCCAGCAACTGTTCGCGAGATAACGTCCTGGACTAATTAAAATGTATCACGTTATAGGCATGTCCTGTAATACTGTGTAGTCACAGATAGACCTACTTGGATGCAAACTGCTGGCTTACAGCTCCATGGATGCAATGGTGGTTTGTTAGTCTGTTGGTTCACCCCTTACTACTCAGCAATTATTGGATGGATGAAATGTTGTACAGACATTCATGCCAAAATATTAAATAATAATAAAAAAATAATTTGAAATAGCGTATCAGAAGTTGTGATTCTTAAATATCAGCAGGTCGCTGTTTAATGATAAATCCATGGGACTGTCCATGGGGATGCATTTCTCTCCAGTCCTCCCCCCCAGCCTGTTAGTCTGTATTTTCTTTTTGCAACTTTTTGGCTGACATGTCATGTTGCAATATTAATAAGGCTATGTTGTTCATTAAGACAGTCATTACAGTGTGGGTCCTTATTATTTTCTTGTCATACATACATTTCTCTAATCTACATGTTGCACAGTTGTGTGTTGGTTTAGTCAAGACTGCAGCACCCCTTATTCCAAATATGTATCTGTGATTCATGGTCCCCAGCAGATGAATCTTAATGACTTTGGTCACTTGATTGTTCATCTTTCTGCTGATAATATATCATGCTAACAAAAAAACTAAGATGGTGACCATGGTAAACCTGCTACTGTAAACATCAGCATATAGCATTGTCTTTGTGAGCCTGTTAGCATGCTAACATTAGCATCTTAGATATGAACAGTCACATCAGAATTCACGTGACATTTATGTTCATCTAACTTGGCATCCGTCATGCAGGTCACTTCGGGACCGCGACTGGAATCTGATGTAGACCACATTTAAAAAGTAATGTGAACAGCCACACAAAACATATTAGATCTGAGCAATAAACTGAGCACTAAGGCTTGCAGTGTCAATGTAGCCTTAGTCTTGTTCAAATAGGAGTGACCTGCATGGCTAGATACCATTAGTGTTAAATGGGAAATTGGAATTAGGGTGATCTAAATCTTTAATGTTTGAAGAATGCAGAACGTATGCTGTATGTAGCAATGTAAGTGTGATATTACATTCTTGAAGCCACGATAGAGGATCTGCAGCTCCTGTTTGGTGAAGTTAGTTTGGGCTTCCAGTTGCTCAAGACCCTCTGGCCTGTGACACACTGTTGTCATCTCAAGCTCGTCATCTGTTTTATCTTACAGGGAAGACAAAGATAGACACACAGAAAGAAATATACTTATTATACAGAATCATGTCAAGAATTCTACAATCCCTGTCTAACATGTGTTCTTCCCAGTCTTTAGAAATATGAAAACTGTAACACGCAGAAAAGAGACAACTCAGTGAAGCTTGAGAATGTTATGTCAGCCAGAAACAAATAAAAAATGTGATTAAACAGCAGAAAGGAGCGCTCACAAAGGTAGCAAGAAGCAGCAGAATGATAAGGCCAAAGAGGATCACATAGAGGTAAAAAAAAAAAAGGACAGCTTTAAGAAGAACTTGAAAAATAGATTTTCCCTTAGGAGTTGAGGGTTTTTATTAATGGCCACATGGTGCTCAGTATCGGGTGCTATGGAGATGCATGGTGGTTAATGATGTGAATAGCTCTGTTCTGCTCTGGGCAAGTGTTTGTCACTACGACTGTCTCCTGCTACAGGGCAAATACTATCCCGACATCCGGCAGTGGACACAATCCACACCAATGAGTTCTCCAACAAGAGCAAATATCTGGGAGAAAACAGACGCATAAATTGCTCTCTGGAAGTCTTTATTGGTTACACTGACAGCTGCACACCCTTGGAAAACAAAACCTAGTTGGCTGTTCAGACACATCTACAGCCTTACTGTATATTGGTGGTGGCAGGACAGCGTATTTACACATTTTTATATCCCCACTGGATCCTAGCGATATGCTTTGCTTCTATGGAGCCCAAGTGATAGTACTATATGCCAGTGCTGTAGTACTGGAGTCTGGTCTCTGACCCGATTTTTCTATTGTCTCGGACTTGTGTTGGACTCATTGGACTGGGTCTTGACTCGTCCTCCACTAGTCCTGGTCTTGGATTCGACAAAGGTGGTCTTGACTCAGCACTGTACTATGCTATATCATTGTATTAATTATATTAATTACTTAGTAACTAGACAAACTAGTTTAATAGCTGTGTCAGCATCAATCGGCTCAGTCAGCCTTTAAGAAAAGGAGATTAAAACGAATATTATCCTCCTCCTTTTTGGATGTCGGCGATGACTCATTCATTGCAGCCCATTCAGTGGCGGTGTCAAGATTAATCCTCATCCCTGAAACTGTATCATGCATCATCTGCCAGAGGCATTCTTAATTTGAATTTGATATCCGATATCATGTTGGTCATCCACTTTTTAGCAATTCCCTGAGGCATCGACTGTATGCAATGATAATATGAAAGTAAAGTCTAATTAGCTGCGTTTGTGGCTTTGAAGAAGGAAGAATAATTGCTTTTACTTTTATCTTTGTATCATTCTCATTTGGATCCAGTTTGTTATTTATTGGCTCTCTGTTTCAGTCCATGCAAAAACAACTATCAGTACACCACTTGCAGCTGTACAAATTCATATGTGTTTACTGAGATCAAAGGCTTACAAATATGTAGGTTGCATACAGTATGTATTAATGAGGGTACCCAATTAGTTTAATGCTGATTTAGAAATAATTGAAAAAAATAAGAGTTTGAAAGAGATCTTCCAGCTGCAGGGGGAATTCGAATAATAACCCAGAGAGATACTATGCCAGCTAGTTTAAGCAGTTTATTGTAAGCTTAGCACATTCTGAGACATATTTCCTGCCCCTTTTCACAGATTATCCCCCTTTTAGCACTACTTCTATAAGGTCTCTGTTTACTGAATGCTGAACTAGTGTGGGATATTTCTAATATTTACTGTAAGCTATCAGAACATACAGCATGTGATTATTTATGTATTGCTTTCTCTCAATCTTCCCTCCATCTTCCTCTGAGCTCCCTCCTGCGATCTCCCTGCCTCTTGTTGTCATGGGGATAGACAACCAAGATGAATGTGAACAGTGGTGAGTATACTGGATCAACTGACATAAAAAACATGTAAAACACAATTTGTACATTTATTTTTCCTGCGAGTAAAAGCCCCTCACCACATGACAACAAAACAACAAAGGGTGTTGTTTTGCTGTGCTTGTATGAATGTGTTTCTTGCTGCCAGAACACGTTTGCTTTCCTGCAAATGTGATAGTGTGATCAGAAACAGATGAAATAAAATGAGGGCGAGAAAGGGAAACAGGGAGAGGTGTTGATTATAGGAGGGGTGATACATTGGGAAGAGAGAAAGAAGGAGGTGGAAGAGTGTGAAGAAAAATGGTGTGAGAAAGAGAATAACACAAAACAGAATATAGAATTACACAATATGTTTGGGGGACATAAACAAACACTTAGCTATTGATCTCGGAGGATGAAGAAAGGGACCTATTGATTTTGAATTTGAGGTTTACTAGTAGCGACTAGCTTTTCCTGCCCGGGGGAATAAAACACTTACTGACAATAATAATCTTACCAGATGACAAACCCAAAAGGGATTTATTCCCACAAGATTCAGGCAGAGCAATGCTGCAGACCGACATTCCCAGTGTTTATGCTCATATGCAAGGCAGTACAATGTGCAACAGCTGCTCTGCACAGAAACCTTCATAAGCATGTACAGGGAGGGAAGTGTTTTATGATGTATGAAGTGATGCAGATAAGTAAGTGTGTGTCAGGTGGTGAATTTATAGACAAACCGTAGCTCTGTCATACTGTTAATGACAACTGCGACACAGACTGTTTGAGCGACTGGTTGTAAAAGTGCCGCAGGCCCAAGTGTTGCTTTTACTGATCCCACCAGGTTGGATTCAGTTTGCTATTCTGGTGTGCCTGGCAAAGGTCTATCACAAGTTTGACATTTTGGGACCTACGCTTATTTGCCTTCTTGCTGAGAGTTAGATGAGAAGATCCATATCACTCTAATGTCTGTAGAGTCGATATAACACCACGGCCAGCTTATCTTAGCGTAAATACTGGAAACAGCAACAAGTAAACAAAATCCACCTACCAGCCCCTCTGAAGCTCAATAATAAGCAGGTTATATCTTGTTTGTTTAATCCAGTAACTTCCTTGAGTAGGGAGGAAGTTACTGCACCCACCCACAAGTTAGACAGGCTCATACAACCACAATACGTCATTTATACATTTAAAGTTTCATATGGATGAAATAAAGGAGATATGACATTTTAATTGGTGATCTTTAGGCAGATTTTGGTCTGTAAAAAGGGCCAGGCTAGCGGCTTCTCCCGCTGAGTGGAATCAATCTTCTCAAACTATTCCTTTATTTCCATTGAAAGTAGGTTATTTCAGAACGACAGCAATTACTTTCTGTTTTCTTAATTCTTTTTGAAATTCATGTCATGGAACACCAGCAGCTGCTATAATCTTCAGTCTATGCTGTGAGTTTTGTCTGTGCCCCTTTTTAAAACTTCCTGACAAACCAGGCACCACAGACATATCCACCATACAAGCCATTCTACCTGTGGCCAGTGACACAAACAACAACTTCTCCAGACAGGAATGTTAGGCATGTCTTATAAAAAGATTTTGGCTGGTTTTGCACATATATATTAAATTCACTGTATGCTCTGTGGTCTACAACACAATATTGTATATAAGCTTTCTAATTATGCCTTATTTTTATTTGTATCCTTCACTGACCCACCTCTTTGATCTGTTTCTTGTGCTGCTGTGATATGTGCTGCTGTTGTATGGCTGGCGGCACAAAACAAAGTTTAATGGACCTTAAAAAATAGCATGACCTCAGTGAATTTTTTCCATTTTGTTCAAAGGCTTTTATCAAAACAACGATTCATCTGCATAAAAGCAGAGACCAAGGATCCCGCTTGTCTCAAGAGGTGATACATCCAACGTGAGAGAGTAATTGCTTCGTTTGCTGGTTCGTGTATTTTATCTCTATTTCATGCTAATATAAATTCATCATTCATCCTAGCTGAGAATTGTTCACACTCTCCTCTTATGCCCCTACAACCCAGTCTCCATGACAACAGGGATCTCAAGCATAAGGCCAGGGAGAGGTATGATATGTGAGCTGCGTTTTAATTCACATGCTCTTGCCTGAACCCTCCTTCGCTCCCCCTCTTTCTTTCACTCACTCACACATTGAATGGACACCTGCACGTGCGCACACACACACACACACACACACACACACACACACACACACACACACACACACACACACACACAAAATCACAGCATCAGGGGCAGTGATTTTGCACTCTGGTTTTTTTCAAGGACATCCTACTTCATGGCATACTGTAATCTCTCCATCAGGAACACACGCAGTACATGTGTTATGCCTCACACGTAAAACTTTTTTTATTTTATGTAAAAAGCTTGTATTTCAAAAAATAGCATCAACGCTGTTGGTGAATTTACTTTACATGTATGTGACATGTGTTGCCATTTGGTTACATGTAAGTAACATTTAGTAAATGCATTAACTGGTCTATTTTTCTGACTGACTTCCTTGTCCAAAAATTTATAGTCGCTCCACAGAAATATGGCAAACATATAAATGTTATTACTTATGTTAAATTTGCATGTGTGCAACACATAGCAATATATAATAAATAAATAAATTACAATTAGTCCAAATTCTTATCTGAATGTTTTGTTTCTGAGGTAATTTCTCTCTGCTCTCTCTCTCTCTCAGTTCAGCTTTCTGTTGCGCTTTTGTCTTCCTTCCATCTTTTTCTGACTAATGTTGACGTACCTCTGGATGGTCTCCTCTGCTTGGTTTGCATGGTCAAAGTGCCCACCACTGCTCCCATGTTGTCACCGTGGAAACCAGCCTGGTCAAACAACCCAGAGAGTAATGGTCCTCTATTTATTTCACGGTCTTGTCAGCCTGTCGTCGTATCTGTATCTGCCTCCACAGCTTTGTATCGTGAAGGGGCTTTGCCCCCCCTTGTTTCCTGTTGCTGGTTTCAGATCTGTCACTGAGGGGCGACTCTCTTCTTTGAGCTGATTCTCTTGGATTTCTGATCTCCTTCTCAAAACACACACCCACAAGCTGCTCCTGCCTTTCTGCGCCACTCCCTCCGTTCTGTGCCTGATTCTACTCATCTGTCAGCCTTTCCCC